CGCGAACGCGATTAATGCGCTTTGATTGTTCGAAATTCGGATGCACGAATTCAGATGTGCTTAATAATCCGTTATGCCTGAGGCGGAGGGTGTCGAACGGTTAAGCTTTCTGTAAGTGGAGTCCCTGTAGCTAAGGCTAGATACTTCCTGTTAGCTTTGTCCCATGCCCAAGATATCCGAAGCGGAAGGCATGAGGGATCGGTATCGCGGTACGCGGATTTTAGAGTAAAGTAGAGTCACCGTTAGCTCGTGGGTCTCCACATGCAGCAACTTCCACGTAGTGAGACCTGGGTCGTTAATACTTGCAAAGTTTAATTGTAAACTTTTAAATGCAAGTATTACCGAGCGAATGGCTGCATATTGCATTACTTTTCCAATATCTTTTCAAACTAATTCCAACTAATCATTAACATATTTTCATTCTATATAGCTAATAATACTTCAAAAGAAGAAATTTATCAGAAATCTATTGTACAATAATTTCTCGGAAAAACGAAAAAGAAATTATTCTATCTCTCTTTTATATTCGCTGTCATTTCTATTTATTCTTATTTACTCTCATTAATTATTCTTTATATATCTCGGGTGGGACCCATGGGTGGGGCCTGTGGGCGAGGGCTTCTGTGCGGGCTGCTGTCTCAGCATCATATAGAACTGTTTCTCTTGTCTTATCATTTTGGGGCTCTCTATTCCTCTCTTTCTGGGGCTCTCTTTTCTTTCTCCGGCTCTCGTTTCTATCTCATATTTTTCATTTTTAATTATGTGTTTAATTATGTGTTTATCTTTTTAATTATGTTTTTAATTATGTTCATTTTCTATTTATATTATATATATATATATATATTATGTTTTATTTTATGTATTTTTTATTCTTTCTCTTATTTTCTGCTTACGTTCTTCTTTTCCAGGATAGATCATCGAGGGATAGGTTCATCTGCGACCGGATGGTACATCGCATGGCTGGATTCATCATCGATTTCTATGCGCGATTACGGGAAGGATAGGAAGAACATGAGCGCGCGTGTCGGCGGGCACAGGCGTTGGTGTTCTCGGGCGCGATTAAACTTCGTTTGATTGTTCGAATCGAAAACGCGAATTTAGAGTAGAGTCATCGTTTTTCTAACACTCGCGTGGGTGTTCGGGCGCGATTAAAGGTCCTACCGTGGACTTCGTTTGATTTCTTCAAAATTTCGATGGGGGTACTTCGCGAATTTCGGCTTAACAGTAGAATCTACGTAATTATAACACACACGTGAGTGTCGCGACGCGATTAGTATTTCTAAGGAGTGCGCTTTGATTGTTCGAAATTCGGAAAGCACGAATTCAGATGTGCTTGATAATCCGTTATGTCTGAAGCAGACGGTGCAATTGGTGGAGCTATCTGTAAGAGGTGTGTAGTAGCTAAGCTACGCATACCCTGTTAGTTAAGAAGCCAGGCATTGAAGCGGAAAGGTATCGCGGATCGGTATCGCGGAACGCGGATTTTAGAGTAGAGTCACCGTTAGCCCGTGGGTCTCCTCATGCAGCAACCTCCACGTGGTGAGACCTGGGTCGGTAGTACTTGCGATGTATTGAAATCTAACGATAAATCGCGCAACTTAAGTACTATCGGGCTAATGGCTGCATATTTCAATGTATTTCAAAATCCCTTCAATCTAATTCTGATTAAACACTAAAGTACTAACACTTTACATTGTCAATAATATTTTAACGGGTAAATAGATAAGATATAGTTCAATTGAAAGATATTTTTTTTAAATTCGCTAATTTATATACTGATTATCAGATGTGTCAATTATATTTTTTATTCCTTACGCTTTCGTCGTGAAAGAAATGCATACCGTTATGGTATTAAGCACGTATCGCTGCGAGATTCACGTTATCATGAACGAAGGATTATAAATATGAGCGATTGAAAAGTGTTATTTCAGTCTACCAAACTACTTACTCTCACTTACACGAAATCAATAATTATTTACACGTGAGATGGGAATAACCAACATAATTGATACGATAAACGCATATTAGGGACACAATAATATATTCCTTAATAGGAAATAGTTCTCCACTTATTTTCGTAATTCATATTTTATCCGTACTTATCGCTGAAGTCACACACGCTTCGAATAAAAGATAGTGAACAGCCTTAATGATATTGTTATGGCTACTAGCGCACTCTATGGGGTAGCAAATATTATTTGTACGGTGTGATCGTGAATATTCCTAAAAAATTTTATATTTTAGAATATACAAAAAATTTTTTATATCTTAATAATTTATAATTATCGAAATGTTTGCATAACTACACATTATTATGTTATCAAATTTAAATAATTTTATAACATTTTTTCGATTTTTTCTATCGATAATATACCATATATTTATCGACTTGATTTTCTTCTTAAGAAATTAGTTCGAGTTCTAGAGGGCGGTTAAGTATGGCGATATTTCTGCCATCTATAGGAATATATTATTGTGGATCAAACAGTGGTAGGTTCAATTAACAGCGTTCTTGATTACAAAAATTAAGTTTTATGTTGTTTAGAGAAAAGTATTTTCTTTTTAAATAAATAAGTAATTTTATGTTTATAAGCATTATGTGATATGTTTAACAATAATATCATTCTTGTTTTGTAGTGAAAAAAAAAAAATAACATGGCATTACGTACTTATGGAGATAAACCTATAAGTTTTCAAGTGGAGGAAAATGGAGAATATTATTGTATTGGCTCCGAAGTGGGCAATTATTTGCGACTTTTCCGTGGTTCATTATATAAACGTTACCCTGGTATGTTCAGAAGATCTATAACTAATGATGAACGTAAAAAATTGGTAGAACTTGGATTAAGTCAACACGTTCTTGCATCAAGCGTATCACTTTTAAGAGCTAGCGAAGTAGAAGATATTATCGAAGGTAATGATGACAAATATAAAGCCGTATCTGTGCATTCGACCGAACCCCCTGCTCCTAGAGAGGGAAAATCTAAAAAGTCAATGGCATGGGTACCAAGTTTGCCAAACAGTTCACATTTAGATGCAGTACCACAAGCTACGCCTATAAATCGGAATAGAGTTCATAATAAAAAAGTCAGAACATTTCCACTGTGGTAAATAATAATTCTAAATTTAGGAGTATAAGATTTAATAGCATAGAAATTATATTTATTGTATCTGTTATAGTTTTGATGATACAGATCCATCTGCAAATTTAGAAAATGCAGCACAACAGGAAATGCTTGTTCCAATACGCTTAGATATGGAAATAGAAGGTCAAAAATTAAGAGATACTTTTACTTGGAATAAAAATGGTATTTATGATTTCATTAAAATATCTAAATCAAATATAGTTTGAGTTGCATAAATATTTATATTATTTTCTACAGAAAGTCTTATAACACCGGAGCAATTTGCAGAAGTATTATGTGATGATCTAGATTTAAATCCATTAACTTTTGTTCCTGCTATAGCACAAGCTATAAGACAACAAATAGAAGCTTTCCCACAAGAAACAATTTTAGAAGAACAATGTGATCAAAGAGTAATAATTAAATTGAACATACATGTTGGTAATACTTCCTTAGTAGATCAAGTAGAATGGGATATGTCAGAAAAAGAAAATAATCCTGAGAAGTTTGCAATGAAATTATGTGCTGAATTAGGACTTGGCGGAGAATTTGTTACAGCTATTGCTTATAGGTAATTTTAAATATTTATCATAGATGTATCATCTGTATGTTATATTCATCTTTACATTTTTATCAGCGTTCGTGGTCAATTATCGTGGCACCAAAGAACATATGCATTTTCTGAAGCACCATTACCGACAGTAGAAGTACCATTTAGACCTCCTTCCGAAGCAGATCAATGGGCTCCCTTTTTAGAAACCTTAACTGATGCAGAAATGGAGAAGAAAATAAGAGATCAAGATAGAAATACTCGGTAAAATATATAAATATTAACTAACTAAGGCATCTAATGAGACATTTACAATAATTATTAATTCTGAATTTTATTTTCTATTTATGTTTTAGACGTATGCGAAGATTAGCAAATACCACACCAGGATGGTAAATAACATGGACCATAGTATTATTTAAGATAAGGAATATTGTTTATTTCATATATTTGTTTACCTAGAACTGAAGTTTTAACACCAACTTCTAATTCACATTTAAAAAAGGAAAAAAAAAAACAAAAAAGAAAAAAAAACTAAAATTACTTTAATAAAAGAATAAAGAAAAAATGCAAATAGGAAATAAAATATATCAACATTATCGGAGAAATTCATATAAATATATTACGTTTATTAAACTATTCATTGATTTATTTTTTTTCCTACTAGTTTGCAAGATATTATTAAAATTTTTATACAAATAAATCACCACTTTTAAAAAATTATATTTTATTTAAAATTTAGATATTTCACTGTTTGTGAATTTAAAATTAATAAAAGTAAGAAAATCATTCGTATATTTATAAATCATTCAGATCCAAACATATTTTATATAATAATTGTTTTAAATACTAAAGCTTATTTAAATAAGAGAACTTTGTTTCACGTTCTTTTTATAAACAAACCAATAGACGTAAAATAGTATAAGATATAGGTAATAAAATTATTTAAAAAAAATATATATATATATATCTATAAATGACCTATTTTAATTAAATAATCATAGTTGATAAAATATTGAATAAAAATACGAACAAAACCTATATAAATGAAAATAATCAGTATTTACAGCAGATTTTACACTTAAATGCATATGTAAGCATGAAAAAGATACATCAATTTTTTTTTTTTTTTTTTTAAGGAAAACAAGATCGTCGGTAACAAAGAAGAAAACCTATAGAAATATATATGTATATGCATATAATTAGTAAAAAAAAATCAACAAAAAATTTTTTTTTTACCAATGATCATTTTGTTTATACATTAGACTTTAATAAAGTTACGTATAATAAGAAAAAAAATAAGAAGTCATACGACGACAAAAGAGAAGAAGGGGAATCGAAGTATCGTTAGGCGGGACACATGACTTAATCAGACCAGTTCAGTTTCAACGTCTTGACCGAGAAGGGACTGCCGGTTTTATTGTTAGGAGTAACATGGATTCACCTTGGTTAAAATATCAATTTACAGAAGAATCATCGATTATATCGGCGTACAATAGCAATAATCCATTTCCAAGAAGACCATGGCTTCAAAACGGTCCGGTTGCGGCTGCTGTTGGTGGTACTAACATCGGTTTCAAAGGAATCGTAGCTGGTACACAATTTTTGTCTAATAATTTCATAATACCTACTTTTTTTTTTTTTTTTTATTTTTTTATTTTTTAATCTTATCATATTAACTAGAAAACATTGACTTTTGACATCTGTCAAGAATAGATGAGATAACATTAGTTCGCATCAAGTGGTTATATATATATATATTTATATATATATATATATTACATATATATTTATGTATGAACATATATATATACATACATAATATACATGATTTAACACGTGTAGGTACGTGTTCGGTCATTGAATGAACGAATGAAAGAAAGTGAAAGAGATAGTTAATCTGATGCTTATTTTATGGTGTAATAGTTCGAAGGTCAAGACCCCATTAACCTTAAATAAATATAAAAAATATATTTACCTTCAAAATTATACAATCACAGCGATATATTTTTTATATTCTGTATCGACCCATATACGTGCTATTTTACACCTTTTTTTATATTTTTAACTGCGTGATAAATGTATGAAGTCCATTGAAATAAATATTCTATATCTTTGTAGGTGGTATTACTGGTGGTATAGAAATTTGTATTACATATCCAACGGAATATGTAAAAACACAACTACAATTGGATGGTAAAAGTGGAGCTGGTAAAGAATACACAGGAATATGGGATTGTATAACAAAAACTGTAAAGACTCGTGGATTCTTTGGACTATACAGAGGTCTATCTGTTCTCCTTTATGGGTCTATTCCAAAATCAGCAGTACGTTTTGGTGCTTTCGAGTCAATAAAGAAAAGATTGGTCGACGATGACAGAAATCTGAATGCTCAAAGAAAACTTTTGTCAGGACTTTGCGCTGGTGTATGTGAAGCTGTTTTTGTAGTGACTCCTATGGAAACTGTCAAAGTAAAATTCATTAATGATCAAAGATCCCCAAATCCCAAGTTTAAAGGATTTTTTCATGGTGTAAGATTGATAGTTAAAGAATATGGTAAGTGTTTCTAGATTTACAAGGTTTTTTTCTCCCCATACCAAAAGAAAATTATGTTACAATATAGATATTATGTATATATTTTTTTTATCATGAATTTCTGAAAAATATATTCTTTTCATTAGCGTTAAAAACATTCCTAAATCTATCGTACAGAATGCATATGATGCATTATGTATTCTTATGTAATGTCTATCAATATTTATGAGTGAGTCTTCATTTCTTAAAAAATATGAACATCATTCTGAACAATACTTTTATTTTTATCATACTGATATTAAATTTATCACGTTTTAGTACATAATTTCTTGATTGATAAAAAAAAAACAGTTAAATTATGAAATGTGGACAAATATCTTGTAAATGAATGATAGTGATAATTGTATATGTACAATTTATCCTTGAACCGTATTAACTTCAATGGTGCAAAGGAAAGATAATACTGCTCATAAACCTTGGTTTACAAGATTAAGATAGTAAGACATGTTTTTACTCTGTCATTATTCCTATTAATAACTAACTACACTTGTATTCAACTCTGTTTTTTGAATTTTTTATTTAATGTTCGATTAATATACTTTGTTTTCTTAATATCTGTAAGTTATTTCTGTGAATGTGTTTCAATTAATAAAAACAAATAAATATATTTTTTTTTCATTATTTAATATTGTAATTTTTTCAACAGGATTTAAGGGGGTATACCAAGGTGTTATGCCTACTATTTTGAAACAAGGTTCTAATCAAGCAATTCGATTTTTTGTAATGGAAACATTAAAAGACTGGTATAGAGGTGGTGACAATACTAAAAATGTTCCTAAAGTTGTTGTTGGTGCATTTGGTGTCTGTGCTGGAGCAGCTTCAGTTTTTGGAAACACTCCTATTGATGTTGTAAAAACTAGAATGCAAGTATGTAGCAATTTTGTCCACCGTCTTTTTCTATTTAATTATTTCACAATTATATAAATTTTCAATACAATATTTCTCCTTTATTCCAGGGTTTGGAGGCATCGAAATATAAAAGCAGTATAGATTGCGTTATTCAAGTTTGGAAAAAAGAAGGTCCATTTGCTTTTTATAAAGGCACTATTCCAAGATTAAGCAGAGTATGTTTGGATGTTGCTATAACATTTATGATTTATGATTCATTTATGGATCTGTTTAACAGTGTTTGGCCATGAGAAAATTTGCATTTATAGAATTTTTATTTCTTTATATTATCGTGAGTGATATATCATGTAAACCTTATGAGCATGTTTGCGTAATATGTTCGTACAGTAATGATTGAATTTTCTTCTTTATAGTAAATTAATTATTGTTTAGAGATATAGTTTATTAAATTCGTAAACTTTTTTGTTTTACGCATTGATAATTCGATATATTTTAGTAAAAAATAGAATATCTACTGAATTTACTGCACAAAATACATTTATATATTTATATATATTATATATATATATATATATATATATATATATATATATATTTATAATATACTATATATAAACTATATATATACTATATATATACTATATATATACTATATATAAACCAAACATATATTATAGCACAAAGTTATATTAATTTAAAGAAATATATTTTACATTCAATACGCCCATTGTATTTGAAATATATTAGAGAAAATATTATACAATGATAGTTTAAATAATTCATAAACATTCCATGATATTAATACACATGTACTTATGTGCGTATGATTATATTGTAAAAATATCTGTGCCAGAAAAAAATGATATGTATGTTTAAATAGAGAATTTATATACATATATAATTAATTTTATAAGTATATGCACAGTTTTATACTTAGAGAAAATGTTTCAAGATGTATTAAATAATGTATATATAATTGAAAGTCAGTTTTACAGAAAACGTAAACATCAACGAAATAAAAGAGATTATAACTTTGCATAAATGACGCAAATGTATTTAATAAAGCTTCAGATATTGATATTTCACCATTAACATTTGGATTGTAATATATTACAATTATTAATTAAAACAATAATGCCTTATTATATAAGAATTATACTGTTTAGCAAATATAATCGGATATGCCACATAAGATATCTATGTTATTTTCTATTATGTACAAAAATTATTTACATATTATTATGTCAATATTTCTAAATGATATTGTGTTTGTAGATGTATATAAAATAACCTTCAATCAGTTTACTATAAGTATATTTACAAATGTGACGAAACACTTCCTGTTTTGATTATACTTGCTAATTGTTGGAATTCAAATAATTTAAAAAAGCTTAAAGTATATAGAGAATCAATGGAGATTATAAAGAAAAGTTAAAAAGTAGTAGGAAGGAGATTATATTATATATTAAAGATGTATGTGTAAGATTCCAATTTTCTACGCGCTCTTCTTACAGATGGGGACTTATATTTTACATTCATAAAACACAGCCACACATACATGAAGTATTGGTAAACTGTATACACAAGTAACGAAGAGGGGTCCGAAAAAGTAGAGGGGAGCATAGATGCAGACAGTGCCGGCCCCACTCTGGGCCCAAGGGAGAACCCCCCACATTCCAAGATGGCTGTGCCTAAGGAATGCAGTGGGTGCCCCCCTAAGACGCCTTCCTCCCTTCTTTTTTATTAATCGGATCAATTTATCGAGTCTAGAGAAAAGAAGACTTCAGGTACCTAGACGAAATAGTGAAGTATACGCGATTACGATTAAAGAAATAATTAATAAGAAAAAAATTGATCGTACGTTAAATGTAAACGAGAAAAGAGAGGAAAGTGCGAGAAAGACTAGAAAGGACCTTACGTATTAAAGCCCGAAGCCTTATCTAATGGAGCTCGTTTGCGGCAGATAATGCCCATGCAGGAGGATGTTCCCGGCTCGTCTTAAGCAATGTCTCATAGGGATATCTCTGAGGTAATGATGTTAGTTTTCTTACACAATTTTTTCTAAATGAAATGCTTTTTTTCCCTTAATTAAATTTTCACCAAATTTTTATTGAATCAATGTTATTTTTAATAACATTTGTAAATATATAATAAATCATAAAAATTATTTATATATATTTAACTAATATCTCATTATATTCATTTAAATATATTCATTTAAACTAGATATGTTTCCTTGTATATTTCATTAAAAAAAGTAAATATTATGAATTATATTTTTAATTATTTGTGCATAGCATTTGACATTGTTTTGATATCTAATTGTATCTTTATTTATATAGCCAGTAATATAACAATATGTAATAAAACTTTAATTTATATACTTTATTTATATATTTTCATTACACTTATTTTATATACTTTATTATATTTATTTTATTAAGTTACTTCAATGTATATTATAGGTGGAGCCCGAAGGTACGTCGGCCTTGGCCGCTGGATCCAGATCATTATTCCTAGAGACTGTACGGCGTAGCAATGCAGCATGTCAGAATGGAGATTATGCACTTGCTGCGACTTTATATACTGAAGCCTTGGCCTTGGATCCACTCAGTCATGTATTATATTCCAACAGATCAGCTGCACGATTAAAAATGGGCTTATTTGCCCTTGCCCTTCAAGATGCTGTAAGGGCTACAGAACTTAGTCCACAATGGCCAAAGGTATGCGTATATCCATTTATGCATTTACAACATAAATGGAATCAATAATTTTTCTGTATATTTAGGCATATTATCGTCAAGGTGTTGCTTTACAATGTTTGGGCAGACACGGGGAAGCCCTTGTAGCATTCAGTACTGGATTAGCTCATGATCCTTCCAATTGTCAACTATTATCTGGTTTAGTAGAAGCTTCTTTAAAATCTCCTTTAAGACCAACGTTAGAACCAACATTTCAGCAATTGCGGGCAATGAAATTAGATGAATCTTCTTTCGTTGTAATATCTGTTGTTGGTCAAGAACTTCTTGGTGCAGGACAATATAAAGCAGCTGCTGGTGTGTTAGAAGCTGCACTCACAATTGGTTCATGCAGTTTAAAATTAAGGGGTTCCGTTTTTTCTGCCTTATCTAGTGCATATTGGGCATTAAATTCTTTAGACAAAGCAATTAATTATATGCAACAAGATTTGGGTAGGTTTGATGATTAAAAAATATAAAGGTATTATTATTCAGTTACTATTCATTTGACAAACATTGCTTTTAGGTGTGGCGAGATCTCTAGGAGATACACAAGGTGAATGCAGGGCACATGGAAATTTAGGATCTGCTTATTTTAGTAAAGGCAGTTACAAGGAAGCTTTAACAGCACATCGATACCAATTAGTTTTGGCTATGAAATGTAAAGATACTCAAGCAGCGGCATCTGCCTTGACAAGTCTAGGTCATGTTTATACAGCTATTGGTGACCTTCCAAATGCATTAGCTTCACATAAACAATGTGTGCAATTAGTAAAACAAATGGGTGATCGTCTTCAAGAAGCTCGTGAAATTGGCAATGTTGGAGCAGTTTATCTAGCTATGGGAGAATTTGAAAGTGCTGTAGACTGTCATACGCAGCATTTACGAATAGCAAGACGCTTAGGAGATCGCGTAGAAGAGGCAAAGGCATTCAGTAATTTGGGATCATCGCACCACTATTGCAGAAATTTTGGTCAAGCAATGGCTTATCACGAAAATGTTTTGAGAATAGCTCAGGAACTAGGGGATAGGGCAATAGAAACAAGAGCTTATGCAGGACTGGGTCATGCTGCAAGATGTGCAGGTGAAATACTTTTCCGAACGAAACATAATGAGGAAAGCAATGGAGAAGTGAACTTTATTATGTAATTTCTTTCAAATGTATTCTAATGTAGGCGATCTTGCTCAAGCCAAGCTTTGGCATCAGAGACAACTCGATGTCGCGCTAGCAACAAAAGACAAAGTAGCAGAAGGTCGGGCATGCAGTAATCTAGGAATAGTTTATCAATTACTTGGTGAGCATGATGCTGCACTTAAGTTACATCAAGCACATTTGGGTATTGCCCGAGCTTTGGGTGACAGAGCTGGTATGGGCAGGGCCTATGGAAATATTGGAAATGCTTACAATGCTTTGGGATATTATGAACAGGCTATTAAATATCATAAGCAAGAATTGACCATAAGTAAAGAGGTAATATTTTTAAATATATTCTGACAAACTAAAATAAAGTCTATATTTACATAATTATTATGATTTTTCGTAGGTCAATGATCGTAGTTCAGAGGCAAGCACTCATGGAAATTTAGCAGTAGCATATCAAGCTGTGCAAGGCCATGAAGCTGCATTGAGACATTATAGAGCACACTTGGCAATAGCTCGTGAATTGAAGGATACAGCTGGTGAAGCATGTGCACTACTTAATCTTGCTAACTGTTTATCATCACGAGGAAGATTTGAAGAGGCAGTTCCATATTATGAGCATTATCTTATGTTGTCTCAGGAATTACATGATGTAGAAGGAGAAGCTAAGGCATGCCATTTTTTAGGATATGCACATTATTGTTTAGGGAACCATAGAGAGGCAGTGAGATATTATGATCAAGATTTGGCCTTAGCCAAAGATTTGCAAGATAAATCTGGAATGGGAAGAGCATATTGTAATTTAGGATTAGCACATTTAGCTTTAGAAAATTTGGATACTGCCTTGGAATGTCAAAAATATTATTTGGGTAAGAATACACTATTGGATTATATTTTAAGATCATTTCACCATGGTATATTATAGGATAAACTGAATATTTGTCTACTTAAATGTAGCCATAGCCCATATGACCAAACACTTAGCCGGTAAATTTCGGGCTTTGGGAAATATTGGGGATTGTCTTTTACGCCTTGGCGAAGCAGAAGAAGCTATTAAAATGCATCAACGTCAATTAAACTTAGCACGACAAGCGGCTGATCGTAGTTTAGAAGCGGCTGCTTATGGAGCTTTAGGAATTGCTCATAGAGCAACAAAGAATCTTGACAAAGCTCTTGGGTTTCATACACAAGAACTTACATTAAGACAAGAAGCTGGTGATTTACGAGGAGAATGTAGAGCTCACGGTAATTTAGGTGCTGTTCATATGGCATTAGGTCAATACACACATGCTGTTAAGTGTTATCAAGAACAATTAGAAAGAGCAAAGGAATTGGCAGATTCTGGTGTTGAAGCACAAGCATTAGGTACAACTTAAACAAAAAAACATATTAATAAGATTAATGGTTCAATATAACATTAGTTTTTTACATTTTATAGGAAATTTGGGAATAGCTAGACTAAATATGGCTCATTACGAAGATGCAATTGGATATTTTGAACAACAATTAGCAACTTTAGAACCATTAACTACAGGTACATCTTTACTTGACAAAGCTAGAGCATTGGGAAACTTAGGCGATTGTTATGAAGCCTTGGGAGATCCAGAAGAAGCTATTAAATGTCATGAACAACAATTAGCTGCAGCTATAAAACTAAAAAGTATAAGAGATCAAGAAAGAGCGTATAGAGGTTTAGGAAGAGCTCGCGAAGCATCGGGAAATTTACAAGAAGCTTTAGTTTGTTTTGAAAAAAGATTAGTAACTGCACACGAAGTCGATAGTCCAGAAGCAAGAGGTGCAGCTTATGGTGATTTAGGTTTGTATTATATTATATTCAATGAAATATTTCAATAAAATATTTATGTGCGATCTCAGAATAGAAAATATGTCTTCTATTTTTCTTATAGGTAGAGTACATGCAGCATTAGGAAATCATGAACAAGCTGTTAGTTGTTTGTCACATCAACTTGCTCTTGCTAGAGGTCTTGGTGATAAAGCTGCTGAAGCTGAAGCTGCTAGTGGATTAGGGGCTGTTCATTTATTAATGGATGATCCTAATTCAGCATTGAGACATCATCAGTTAGAACTTTCTATTGCTGAAGGCTTAAATGCTGCTGGATTACAAGCCAGAGCTTGTGCAAATTTGGCTATGACTCAGGAAGCACTCGGTCAATATGAGGAGGCTATAAGATTACAAGAACAATCATTAAGCTTAGCTGCTGCAGCTGGAGATCAATTAGCCAGAGCAGCAGCGTTTTCCAGTTTAGGAAGATTACATCATTTATGTGGTGATTTATCAAGGGCTTTAAGTTATTTACAATCAGGATTATCTTTATCTGAAGGTTTAGGAAGGAGAGAAGAAGCAGCTAGGTTAAAATATAGACTTGGTCTTGTTCATTGGGAAGCTGGAGAAGCAACAACTTCTGTAGAACATTTGGAAAAGGCTGCAAATCTTTTAGAATCATTAGATGGATCATCTTCATCTCTCATTTGTGGACAACCTAGCAAAAACGAGCTATTAACGGAAACGTATAGAATGTTGCAAAAAGTATTGATTAGTTTAAATAGAGCAGAGGAAGCATTAAATTGGGCAGAAAGATCTAGACGATCTAGAACTAATTCTTTGGATGATACAGCTCATTATTCAGAAATTATTGACAGACAAAGAGGAATGATATTGTATTATAGGTATAAATATTAATAGATATTAATATTGCTAATGTGAAAAAAAAAAAATAATAAAAAACTAAAATCTCAAATAAGATAAATTTACAATTTTAGTGAAGTGGGTAATGAGCTGCATGCATGGTGTTTAGCTCCAGGTCGAGGACTTTTAAGGTTTCATTCAACAACATTGGACGATGGTATGACTTTAGAACAGAAAGTGTTACAAGCTCGTGAAGCACTTTTAGACGAATCCAATGAGCTCGCGGAAGAATCAACAAAAATACCAACGAGAGGGCATCATCTTAATGCGAGTTCTTATAGTTTAAGCAGTTTATTTAGCGTTGGCTCTGTTAGTTCACGAGCTGGAAGCGCACGTTGGGGACGAGGAGTTAAGGGACCTACATGGCAATCACCATTGCCGATTCAGTTACTTTATGATTTACTCTTAGCACCATTCGAAGATTTATTGCCTCCTGTTAGAAAGGAACTTATTATGGTGGTCGAAAAGTCTCTCTATTTGGCACCATTTCCAGCTTTACAATCAAATCCAGGAGAGGATTATTTATGCGAAAGATTTTCTTTATTAATCGTACCATCGCTTGCAGCTCTTAAGAAAAGATCGAAAACTCCTATGCCCGAAGGTGGTGCTACTGTAGCTGCTCTAGTTGCAGGAAATCCTACTCTTCCAGAGGATATTAGAGAAGAATATGGATGGCCAGAAAGTGCAGCTTCTACTGAAACAGAATCTGAAATAGTCGCGGAACTTTTAGAAGCACGTGCTCTAATAGGTGAGTACATTATAATAAATAAGTGTTCCTTTAGTTAAAATAAGAAAACACACACACACACATATATATATATATATATGTTCAATTTTTAAGGCGTGGAAGCTACAAGATCAGCAGTTTTAAGATCTCTACCAGATGCAGAATGTGTACATTTAACTGTACCAGTTTTTTGGAATTCTACTAGTCTAGCACTTACGTCTGATCAGTGTGAAGAAGGAACTGAAAAACCAGCTTATTTGTTAAGTTCTTCGGATATTCTAAAATTACGAATATCTGCTAGATTAGTGGTAATATCCAGTGGTCATTGTTGGAACAGTACTGAAAACACGGCTCCTTCATCAGACGGGATACAAAATCTTACAAAAGCATTATTAAATGCTGGAGCACAGTGTGTACTAATAGGCATGTGGGCAGTTCCTCCTACAGCTGGTAGCATTTTATTGCGAGCATTTTATAGTGCCATGTTACAAGGTGCTAGGGCATCAAGAGCTTTAGCTGAAGCAATGCAAACAGTACAACATACACGACATTTTGCTCATCCAGCAAATTGGGCAGGATGGTTACTTATTGGAGGAGATGCAAGATTATCAAATAAGGTAGCTCTTATGGGCCAGGCGCTAGCTGAATTATTACGTGGAGGACCTGAACAAAGTCGAGATGCTTTACGCGTCACTCTTCACTTAGTAGAAAAATCATTACAAAGAATACATCGTGGTCAAAAGAATGCCATGTATACGACACAACGTAGTATTGAAAATAAAGTAGGAACGGCTGCTGGTTGGCGAGAACTTTTAATGTCGGTAGGATTCAGATTTGAGCCAGCTGGAAATGGTATACCATCTTCTGTATTCTTCCCACAAAGTGATCCTGAAGAAAGATTAACAAGATGTAGTGCTAGCTTACAAGCTCTTCTAGGATTAGGACCATCATCATTACATGCTCTAGCTAGGCTTTTGCAGGTAAAAAATAAAATTTCTTAATAAACAAAGTATCCTATTTATTATAAATATATAATATCTATAATATATAGGCCCCGGAAGCGGCAGAAGACGTTATTGCTGCAATGAGAAGAGCTAGTTGTGCAACTGAAGGACAGGAAATCTCTTTACCTGTACAAGTTTGGAGAGCACCTGGATCTCATGAATTGTTTGCAAGTTTAGGATTTGATCTTATGGAAGTTGGCCAATCTGAAGTTACTTTAAGAACAGGAAAACAAGCTTCGCGTAGAGCCGTGCAATTTGCTTTGCAAGCACTTCTTGCTTTATTTGGTAATAATCCTATGTTATTTGTATCTTGATATTTAATGTTACAAATCTAACGAAACTTTTTTGATATCAGATACACAAGAAGCCCCAAAGAGTCTTAGCATAGATTCTAGCAGTTCGATGGAAAGCTTAGCATCAGTTGCAAATACTGAAAAAAATGTTATAGAACGGCCTAGATTAGGAGGAGCGTTTGCAAGTTACGTACGGCATCGTGGAGAACCAGATGGAAAAACTATGGAACCACCAAATATTCCAATAACTATATCTCGTCAACAATGTCAAAGTGGTGGAGGTAAATTGTTATTAATCCTAATTTATATTTACTTATTATTACATTATATTTTCACAAATTTCACATGCTTTTTATAGGTGAATCAGATGTGGCTTTTACACCTAGTCCTCCAGTAGCACTTAATTTGAATCATCAAACGCGTATTAGAAATTTATATCCTGATCAAAATGTAAGACCAGGATCAAGTTCAAGTAGTTCAGTAACTGATTGGGATAATGGTCATGCTACTGTTTTAAGACGGCAACCGCTGCCACCTTTACCAACTACTGTATTAGAACGATTAAGTGTTAGAACAGAAGTTGGATCTAACGCTCCAAGAAAGCCACGACATCCTACAACTAATGAAGATATATGTTCTCAAACTGATTCCACACAGGCTACAGAAACACATCCACAAAACTTAAGAAATATAGCTACATCTTTAACGAGTTTAACACGAGAATTAACACCTACTATTTCTGAAGTATACCATGAACGAAATTTAGGATTAGGACTGGCTCCATCTTTATCAAAATTATTAGAAGAAGTAAGTTCTGTGCCTGAAAGAGAAGAAATTCAAACATCACGGACAAATCACAATCAAACTCAAAATTGGATACAAAATGATACAGAATTATGTCGGAGGGATGAGGCTGATGGTAGATCTATTGCTGAATCACAGTGTAGTGCTACCAGCTCTAACAAAATTCATAGGAAGGCACCACCACCTCCAGTATAATTTTTCTTTTATTTATATATTATATTTATAAGTACTATGTGAGAGAGAGAGAGAGAGAGAGAGAGAGAGAGAGAGAGAGAGAGAGAGAGAGAAAGAGAGAGAGAGAGATATATATATATATATATATATATAGAGAGTAATCCTGGATAATAGTACTGGGTACCAAAGAATGGAACATATTAATTTTAATCAGAGATTATCAAGTTTTTATTAAAATAATATCAAAAAGTTCAAGATAATCCAAAATAAACATATTGATTAGATACTTAATTTTGTTTTGGTAGTTGCATGCAAAAAATGTACTATATTATCCTTAAGAATATATAAAGATACAAAGTTATAGTAAGATTCATTAAGATAATTCACATGCAATACTCGTTTCTAAAAACAATTTATTCATTTATATACCTTGATTCATTCATCGTGTTTCAATATACAGTATTGCATTTCCCAGTAATTTATATATAATGCATATATCTTAATTTTGTTCTTTTAGTTAGAATTATTCCACTCAATTGTGTATTTTTTTTTCTTTTTCTTTTTTTCCTATTTTTTTATTTATTTTTTATTTTTTTTTATGTAAAATTGTTCTCAATCAACAATTGTGTATTATGGAAGAGTTAAGCTATTTTATGCTTTACATTTTTTTTTTCAGTATTTTATATAAATAAATTTTGTTATAGAAATTTATTTAAATTATTAATGATCAAACCTTCCAAAGATTGGAAAGGAATGTTTTAATATAAATTCATTTCAATAATAAAAAAAATGTACAATTTTTTTGAAGAATGCTAATAAAGTTTCAAACGCCCAGTTACTAAGTTTACCAAATGCGCTGGCCCAGGACCCACTCCACATACAGTTCTACTTCCTGGAGCTACTTGTGTGCGTCCTGCATCTTGTATTACATTTGTTATTAAACCAGCATCTCTGGCTGCTTTTGCTATTGCTCTTAGTTCATCTTCATTATTCACCTAAACATTATTTTTTCATTAACTACCTTTTTATAATTATTGTATAAAAATAACACAATGTGTCTATTTATGTTTTCGGTTAGCGAATTAGATTATATATGTGACATGTATTTGTGCCGAAAAAATATAATAAAGGGAAAATATTGTTATGTTATATTATATTCATATTATATTTTACTATACATTCACATTATGTTGAAGAATATTATCTAATAAGAATTATATGAGCTCTTGTTTTAGAGAGCTAAAAAGTATATAACAAATTATACAAATCTATTTACAAAATAGCATTAAACAGAGATGCAAAAAATTGTTTTTCCTTTTGTGCATTATTAATTTTTCAGTTAAAAAATTTCATTAAAAATTATAACTGTAATTTTAGTTATAAACGACAATACCTTGACAGTGACTTTTACTTGACCAGAATTTTCCCAAGCTTTTAAAATAGGTGGATACTTTTGAGCAATTTTATAAGCTGCTACAGCCGCATGTGCACATTGAGCCACAACTTTTCCTTTTCCCATTTTTAAATCACTTCTTACAACTAATACTAATTTACAATCTTGGTTATCATCGAACTCTGAATATGCCTAAATAAAATAATTTTGTTATTAAATAGTTTATTAAATTTCTTTCATTTTAACAAATAAAGATTTAATATACTTACAATACAATTACCATCTGGTACAGATTTTTTACCTATTCGATACATTATTAATTTATATATACAATAACCAGCCATGGTACAAATTACAAACCCAATGGTTGTATCTATACCATTTTTTAGAGGTGATTTTAAAATATCCATTTTTTACAAAATGCTGTAAAAAGATACAAAAATATATAATATTAATTCATAAATTCCTTGTTCTTTATCTAATTAAAAAATATTACACTTTTTTTTTTATACTTTTATAATATTTTTTCTGCTTCACAAAAATAGTTTCTATATATTTATGTATATATTATCCTAAGGATAATTTTTAAAATATGTTTTCCAAACGATTTTATGTAAAAGTACAAAATACAAAAATAAAAGAATCTTGACAATAAATGATGGAATCAATTAATTTATCAATGTAATATTAATTCAAATTATTTTTACACTCATACTAATACATTTTTTTATTCAAATATTAAATATTATTAGAATGTATTACAATTACACGTTTTAATAAACTAACGTAGCGTAGGAAATATATTTTATATAGGTGGATACACACTGAACATTTTATATAAAAAGTCAAGGATAGTACAAAATGAGTTTTCATGAAAATTTATTAAAAGTTCATATATTCTTACTTTACATATTAGTAATAAATAAAAAATTTATAACTATTAGTAATTATAATGTGGTACCTATAATACAAATAAAAATAGATAATCATTTTTAAAACGTTTATTATTTTATATACTTAACGTTTATTGGTAGATATATTTTAAATAGATTTAAAATCCACCAATCACGAAGTAAATTTTTTTAAGAAGAAAATGAAAGATATAAGAGAAGAAAGGAAGCATAAAAAATGAAAAAGCAAGTAGAGATTTGACAGAAACGTTCCTTCTTCCTTGTATATATGATTTTGGTGCGTTCAACATTCATACGCGGTTCAACAAACACTCAATGTGGCGCTTGAGTTTGGAAGGTTATGGATTAATACTTCGGGGTGTGGCATCATATCGTGATTTATAAACCGAATAAAATATAATGTGCGTGTAACGTTGAATAAAATATTTATTCGTTCATGGGATATCTAAGAAGTTGTCTTTAGTTAGTATGTTTCGCGCGTTTTTGTGAAAATTCAATGGACGTTGAACTTACTCTGCACAAACGTAAATCATTTTTTGAATAATTTTTTAATAATAAAATCATATATTATAGACCATCAAAGGAACAGTTTTTTACTAACATTCGAAGAAAACATCATGAATAGTGAAGTGTCTGTGTCATGTTTGTGGAACTTCTTGTTTTGATATATTTCCAAATGAAAAGTTGTTACTTGTTGTTAAGATATATTGATTGCTATTAAAAAGGATATAGTCCATGAAATCACGTGTATTAAACACTACGTGGGATGTTGGGTCCTATCACCCCCACTCAATCCCACGAATATACCGAAATGTCTCGTCTAGCCGACTACTTTGTAGTAGTGGGCTATGATCACGAGAAAGAAAGTAAGATATCATTATATGCCTATATTTAATATTATAAGAAAGAATACAATAATGATGTTAATAATATTATAGGGGGTGGTATTAGTAGTGGGATCATTATACAAAGATTTCCAGAAAAAGATTGGTCTGATACACCATTTATTGAGGGTATAGAATGGGTAAGACTTATTATTTATAGGCTTCTTTAGTGGTCTACAACTAATGGTTATTCATTTCATAGTTTTGTCAACCTCAAGGATGGGCTTTATCAACAGAAAGACAAGAACCACGCTTTTTTGTATCGATATTAACAGATATCGATGCAAATCGTCATTATTGCGCTTGTATGTGTTTCAATGAGACAGTCTCTATAATGCCAAGTAAACCTGTAGATGAAGAAGAAGAACCTGTTGATAATGATAGCCGTTCTTTGGTTAGATCAATGCCTTCTATTGCACATCATAGCATTATGTATGCTCCTAAATGTCTGGTGCTGGTTTCCAGATTAGATTATATTGAAACTTTTAGGGTATGTAAAATGTCAAACATCAACAGAGAGTTGATTAAAAGATAATATCTAAAAAATGACAAAAAATATTTTTTTCTTAGAACTGTCTTGGCATTATTTACACAGTATATGTAGAAAATCTTGGAATACCATTAGAGACATTAGTGGGAAATATATTAGGATGTATACAAGTACCACCTGCAGGAGGACCTCAAGTACGATTTAGTATTGGAGCAAGTGATCGTCAGGCTCTTCAACCACCAATTAGTCCTTCACTTCCAATAACTCATACTAGTGTAAATCTTTTATTTCAACAATTAGGTAAGAAAAAGCTAATAATTGTTCTATATATATATATATGTCTATGAGTGTGATTGAATATGTTTTATTTTAAATATTTATAACCTTTTTTTCTTAATTAAATAGGTATTCGCAATGTACTAGTGTTATTTTGTGCAGTTATGACAGAGCATAAGATACTCTTTCACTCTGCAAGCTATTCTAGATTAACTGAAGGATGTCGTGCTCTAACTGCATTGATGTATCCATTTAGATACACACATGTTTACATTCCTCTTTTACCTGCGGCTCTAGTCGAAGTACTCAGTACACCCACGCCATTTATAATGGGAGTACATAGTTCACTCAAGCACGAGGTTGCAGAACTTGTAAGAAAAACTTTCGTTAATTTAAAAATAATATTTATTTAATATTATCTATGGAAATACATAATTCTTTTGAACAGATGGATGTGATAGTAGCCGACTTAGATGGTGGATCTATAATGGTTCCTGATGGAGTATCACTTTCTTTGCTCCCAGAACCTCTTCTTTCACAAACACAAGATGCATTATCTCTTGTTTTACAACCAGAACTAGCATGTGCAGATTATGCATTTCCTCCTCTTGCTACAAGAGCTCCACATCCTCCAATGTTAGATAAAGAATTAAGAGCAGTTTTTATGAGAACTTTTGCTCAATTGCTACAAGGTTATCGTAGTTGTCTTACATTAATACGAATTCATCCAAAACCAGTTATTACTTTTCACAAGGTAATTATTATCATACATTTCTTTCTTATTCTATATTTGTGTATATTATAATTTCATTTATATTTATATTTTTAGGCTGCTTTCTTAGGAGAACGTGGTTTAACAGATTGTGACTTCACAACGAGAGTTTTAGATTGTATGTTTTTTACATCTTTTATTGCAGAAAGAGGTCCACCATGGAGACCTTGTGATGTATGGGATGAATTATACAGCAGTTTAAGTGATCAGTTAAAACAGGAAGCACAAGATCATAGTCAGTATTAATAAGTTCTTAATTCGATAAATATTACATTTATTCTAAACATTAAGATTTTGTTTTTATATTCAAGGACTTGTTTTAACACACATTCAAGAACTTGCACAACAATTATATACGAATGAAAATCCTAATCCTCAACCATATGTACAAAAGATCTTAAAGCCACCAGAAGGAGCCTTTGCAAGAATTCATCAACCTCTTTTACCTCGTGTCAATCCAGAGCAAGTACAAGCAATTATAGATGAAGGTCTTGCCAAAAACAATTTAAATGTTAGGTTGGTATATTTTTTTATTTTATAATCTATAATATCATTTTATACTATTAATACATAATTTGTCTTTATATCATTTAGATTGACATCATTAAGACCAATTCAACCACGTATTGTACCTATAGGCCCACATATTTCATTTGTTCATGATACTAGACACTTGGTGAGCAATTCAGCACGCAGATTAGAAGTGTTGCGTAATTGTATAAATTGTATATTCGAAAATAAAATATCAGACGCTCGTAAAACTTTCCCAGCAGTTTTAAGAGCTTTAAAAAGCAAAGCTGCTCGATTAGCTCTTTGTATGGAATTATCTCAGCATGTCGTTGGTAATAAAGCCATGCTAGAACACCAACAATTTGATTTGGTAGTGCGTTTAATGAATTGTGCATTACAAGATGATTCCTCAATGGATGAACATGGTGTAGCTGCTGCTCTTCTTCCTCTTGCAACGGCATTTTGTAGGAAACTTTGTACAGGTGTTATACAATTTGCATACACTTGTATTCAAGAACATCCTGTGTGGCAAAATCAACAATTTTGGGAAGACGCTTTCTATCTGGATGTACAAAAAGATATAAAACGTTTATATCTACCTGGTGATAATTCCCCGCCAAGACTTGCAAATGATAGCATTTTAAATCCTATCAGTCCACGAGAAAATAAGGAATTTCCATTTCGTGATCGTTATTCCATATATCAAACTCAGGAACCCTCAGCTTTAGAAATTGCTGCTGAACAAATGAGAATTTGGCCAGCTATTGATCCAGAAAAACAAAAAGAACTTATAGCAAGCGAAGAAAGTACTATGTACAGTCAAACCATTCATTATGCCAACAGAATGGTATACTTACTAGTTCCTCTGGATATTGGTGCAAAAACTCATCGTCAAGATAATGTTTATGATGATGAAAGAGCTAGTAACAGTATTACAAACAGGTACATTTTTATATATGTATATTCATTTTTTTTTTTCCTATCTATAAGTAATAATTTTTTGTTGGGAAAAAAGTGTGGCAAGTGACAGTGGTGATGCAGAATCTGGATTCGAGGAAACTGATCCTGGTGAAACTGGTAGTGTTGTTATACGCATGGTTTCACGATTTGTAGACCGTGTTTGTACTGAAGGAGGTGTTAGCGCTGAACATGTAAGGTGTCTTCATCAAATGGTTCCTGGTGTTGTTCATATGCATATTGAAACTCTTGAGGCTGTACATAGGGAAAGCAAGAGATTACCACCAATACAGAAGGTATGTTATATGTTCATAAAAATAATTAAGATAAAAAAGAAATCAAATATAAAAATTTCTTTCTTTTTTTTTCATCTTTTTTACAGCCTAAAATCTTAACACCCAATATGTTACCTGGTGAGGAAGTCATAATGGATGGTTTGCGCGTATATCTTCTACCAGATGGTAGAGAAGAAAGTTCTGCAGGTCTTCCCAAAATACCACCATTGTTGCCAGCAGAAGGAGCTATTTTCCTTACTAATTATAGAATAGTATTCAAGGGAATACCCTGTGACCCATTTGGTAATTATATTTAACTTTTATTTTTGTTACAATTATATATAAATTAGTTTACAATTACTCATTTTTATTGATATTTTCATTAGCTTGTGAACAACTAGTAGTTCGAGCTTTTCCTGTTACATCATTAACCAAGGAAAAGCGTGTTGCTGTACAGCACTTGGCACATTTAGATCAGTGTCTTCAAGAAGGACTACAATTACGTTCGTGTACATTTCAATTAATAAAACTGGCATTCGACGAAGAAGTAACGCCAGAAAACATAGAAACATTGAGAAAATTAGTTCACAAAGCACGTTATCCACCACATATATTTCATCATTTCGCATTTAATGGTCAAGCATTAGTTACACAAACTGCCCATCATAAAGGAAAGGAAAAAAATGCTACACTGAAGTAAGTATAACAGATAATCAGAACTAATTGTTCTTATTATTTTTTTTTTTTTTTTGTTTTTTGTTTTTTTTCTTCTCTCATATTCATGCTCATTTTACAGAGGATTTGCCAAAAAGACCCTTTTGAAAACAGCAAGAAAGGCTGGCTTTAAACCAAAACAATCATCAAAAAGGCAAAAATACGTTTTACCAAACATGAATTTAATGACCAATAATAAATACATGACATTACCTGGACGAATGAGTTTACCAGTCACTGATAACAATGACTTAAGTCATGATGATGATCTCAGCAGTAAGTTTTGTTACAATTAGTTAGCAGTTACTTTTGAAGTAATTATACTTGTTAAATTACTTCTATTTAATATGAAATATTTAATATCTGCAGTTGATGATTATGAAATACCAGGAATTGTAAGTCAGCCTCCAACCGATGCAAAGACTTTGGAACGTCTTTCTGAACGCAGTTATGTCAAAGATTGGTATCGATTGGGTCTATATGCTAATGGGCCATATAGTAATCGACGAAACGAGCCTTTTAGATTGTCTTCTGTGAATTGTGCATATATGATCTGCAGAAGTTATCCCGCTCTTCTCATAGTTCCTACATCTGTATCGGATGAAAGTATTCGAAGGTTTTGTCGGCTTTATCGACATAGTAGAGTTCCAGTTATTACTTGGAGGCATCCAAGAACGAAGGCACTTCTTGTTAGAGGTGCTGGTTATCATGGTAAAGGTGTCATGGGTATGTTAAAGGCTCATCCAACTTCAGCTGCTAATTTAAAAGGTATAATTCAATTAACTAAAAATTATAGATCAAATTAAATATATTTATTTTAAATAAGTATGTCATAATTATAGCAACTTCATCTGAAACAACGTCTTCCTTGGAACAAGAAAAATATCTTATGGCTCTTGTAGCTGCTACTCCATTATCTGTATTGCGTCAAGGTTCAGCATGGGGCATGTCTGATTCCTCTCTTAGCATAGATTCATTATTATTAGCTGCAGAGGATCGTAATGCCACTCCTGAACAAACTAGACGAAATCCATTCAATAAAGCTATAGGTACATTAGGGTATGTTCTTCTTTATAATAATACTATTATATATTATTTATATAGAAAATAATAATATAGCTTATCCTTATCTTAATAACTTAAGATCATCAGGTGGTAAAGGAGCAAAAAATTTTGGACGCTGGGGCTCACTTAAAGATAAAAGACATAATTCTCAAGCTTCATTAACTTCTGTTCATCAACGTGGTACAGTGAGACATTCTGCTGACTCAGATAGTGGAACAGAATGTGTTCATACTTTTCAACGTGCGGCTCTATATATTCTTGGAGAAAAATCTCACATGAAGGTAATTAAATAAAGAGAAAAAAATATTGCTAATTAATTAGAATTTTCTGTTGATACAACTAAATATTTTTCTGTTTTTCATTTTTTTTTTTTTTTTGCTAAAAGGGTGTTAAAACAGAATCAACTCCTAAAACTGATTTTATACCAGTAGAATATTTTGATGTAAGGCATACTAAAGCTGCATTTAAAAAACTTATGCGAGCATGTGTTCCAAGTTCTCCAAATGTTGAACCTGATCAAAGTTTCTACAAGTAAGTCTATCGTCCTAAATATTCGATTTATAAAATATTTATGTATATTTTTTATTGATAAATAACTTTTTTCTCTAGATTAATTGAAAGTTCAGAATGGTTACAACAATTACAAAATTTAATGCAATTATCTGGAGCCGTAATCGACCTGATGGATGTACAAGGTTCATCAGTTGGAGTTTGTTTAGAAGATGGTTGGGATACAACAGCAACCGTTTGTTCTGTTGCTCAAGTTTGTCTTGATCCACACTATAGAACTATTGACGGTTTTCGAACTTTGATCGAAAAGGAATGGCTTGGTTTTGGTCATAGATTTGGCCATAGGAGTAATCTTGCTGCAAATTCACAAACAACAAATTTCACTCCCACTTTTCTTCAATTCCTTGATATAATACATCAAATTCAAAAGCAATTTCCATTGGCATTTGAATTTAATGATTATTATCTTAGATTTTTGGCATATCATTCAGTATCTTGTCGATTCCGCACATTTTTGTTAGATTGTGAATTTGATAGAGTGGAGTGTGGTATTGCTGCTGTTGAAGATAAGAGAGGTTCATTGACGAGCCATCATAAAGGTGTAGATACAGGTAGCGACGATGAAACAATATATCCTGGTGGTAGATTAGTTGGAACGAGTACTGGTTGTAATTTAGGCCAGAGTATATTTGACTATATCGAAAGACAACATGCAAGATGTCCTCTATTTTATAATTTTATGTATTCGCCAAATACTGAACATTACGTTTTGAGACCTGTTTCACATTTACCAAATCTTGATATTTGGCAATATTATTTAGAAGAAGAATTAGCCCATGGTCCAGCTTATGATTTAGAAGTATTGCAACAAGATTCTCAACAAGAGGAAGAAGCAGAAGCTGCTGATGGTATTGTGAAGAGTAATCGAAAAGTAGTCACACAAGGGTAAATATTTAAACAAAATTTAAACATTCATATTTCTCTAACATATCTTGTATATATTTTAGTTATGATGGAATTAGTGCTATGGTACCTGATCAATTTTCACATCTTTTGGAAGAAATCCATAAATTAGAAACTGAATTAGGACATTTACCCCAGAAATGGAAAGTCCTTTGGGATAAACTTGAATTACCTAATACAGATTCATTAGCTGTATGTATTACAGAAGATAGATCTTTTAAAATTGTTATTATTATAAATATTTCCATTTATATATATATTTGTGTTATTATTTTTTTTCTTTTAATTTTTTTTTTTTTCTAGCGACACGCATCATTTAGTACAGCGCTTGTAAGATATCATGGTAGATTAATACATAAGCGTTCTACTTTTGAACTTTTATTAAGGGGGAAATTAGCTGGTGGAAATACAGCTGGAAACGAAGGTTCTGTTTATGCACATCCACATAGGTAATTATACAAGCAGATTTTATTCAACGAGTTAAAATATTTTACAATTTTTTATCCTAACATTCTTTTTCAAAGGTTTGACAGATTAGATTCAGCTACTCCAACTCATTGTGATGCATGCTCCGGTGTGTTATGGGGACCCGTAAAAGCTGGTTTGCGATGCGTTGATTGCGGTCACGTTTGTCACGATAAGTGTGCAGATGCAGTGCCAAAAAATTGCACAAAATACAAAGCAGTAACTGATAATCTACAGACTCATACTCTTACACGAAGCGGTGGAGATAATGGAAGTGTTAATTCAAGTAAGATCATTTTCTTGAATTATAGTAATTTATTTAAATGTATAGTTCATAAAATATCATAATATGTGTTTATATTAACAGGTGTAACTACAATACAAACATCTTCGCAACAATATTATGAACAATTCTCTAGTAACGTTGCGGAAAATAGAACTCACGAAGGATATCTTTACAAGCGAGGTGCTTTATTGAAAGGTTGGAAGCAAAGGTGGTTCGTATTAGATTCTATCAAGCATCAATTAAGGTATTACGATGCAATGGAAGATTCTCATTGTAAAGGATACATAGGTATGTTATATTTATATAAAAATTATAATAAAATTTATGGACGATTAATAAATTTTATTGAATTTATCCAAATATATTAACATTACAGATTTGGCAGAAGTTGTGTCTGTTACTCCAGCTGCACCAATGCCAGGGCCGCCAAAGAAAACAGATGACAAATCATTTTTTGATGTAAAGCATACAAATAACATTCTTCTTATATATTACATGATATTTTAAATGTTTCTTCATATTTTTAGCTCCGTACAAATCGAAGGACATACAATTTTTGTGCTGGTGACGCAGCAACTGCACAAGAATGGATTGAGAAGGTCCAAGCATGTTTACAGTAGCACCTCAGCTTGATCATTATTCTAATTTAAATCGTGCAAGTGACTGATAGAATAATACAAGTTATACTTTTGTTATATAATCTTGTATAGTCCAAATACATACATACACACACATACATACACACACACACACATATATATATATATCATAGACTGCGATAATTTTGTTTTAAGTTTTTAAAACTGTGGAAATTGTTAGAAAGAAAACAGGTCTCATAAAATTAATAGTGTCGCACTCACATTATTGTCGTAGATTCAATATGTGAATGTAGAGTGTACATTGTGATTATGCTATTATATTAAGTTAAAATGATTTCAGCTGGAAGAGGAGAGATCGCTATATTTGCTTTGTCAAACGTTAACATCTTTTTTACCTTGTTTATATTTACGTTAAAAAGTATAAATGAAAATCATAAATATATGTAAATGTCAAAATGTTAGGTTAAACTCTGTATATATTTATATATATATAGTTACATATACTATATATATATATATATCTCTCTCTTGATGTAATATTAATGTACCGTTATTACTACATTATTGTTATTACTCGACAGCCCTAATCTTTACTTTTTAAAACACTGAACCATACAAACATTTTATTTCAATCCATAAATCAATACCGACTGAAATGTTTATTTAATAAGAATTTTTTTTTTTTTTTTTTTTTTTAATTCATACCTCCTCTAGAGCTAAATTGACAATATTTTTAATTTATTCTTTTTATGAAAAAATAATAATCATACAGTGTATTTTTTTTTTAAATATCAACAAACAACAGGTATTCTAACTACGTGAACCACCTAGTTTGTCAGTATTGAGATGTGTCTACATTGAAAGAAAATCAATGACAATGTCCTAAATATGTCTATGCTCAATTTATTCAATGATGCGTCAAACCCAGGGATGCTGCGGGTACACATTAGTTCATGCACCGCAAGGTACATGAACTAATCATCTAAGATATATAATAAATAAAATATAAAATGTGGTGAAGAAATTTTACAAATTTTTGATTAAAAAATCGTATAAACATTTTATATCGAGGGATATAAAATATAAATTTTACATCGAAATTTTATACAAAATATAAATTATTTTATATTCTATTATACATACCTTCGATGTATTTACATGTAAGAAAGGAAACAAGAAAGGACACAATCGTACCATCATCTAAATAGCACTATATATTGCGCACTTTAATACTAAAAGTAAGGCACTAGGAGAATACGGGCCAAGGTCTCCAATACGATAGTTCAGCGGAAGGTGCGTATTTCCAATATAGAGTGCACTACAGTATATCGCGACAATTTATCTATAACGATAATTATATTTTTTTGCGCTGTTCACGTATTCGATAATTAAACTACAAAATTACTTATACATAATTAAATACGTTAATATTATTTAATTGATCGTTAATCAAATAATTTCATGGTATAAGATATTTGAAGGAATTCAATGAGATATTCAATTTGAATCATTCCTCGCGTTATATAAAAAGGATTAGATAGAATTTGATTAATTTGATTTTACCGGGTTCCTTCCTGAAAAAATAATTGAAAATAATTACGTTAGAACGATAATGATATATATATATATATATATATATATATATATATATATATATATGTATGTGTTTATGTATCTAGTGTATGTATATATAATCTTTACTTGGCCCTTTTTTCTTGGGTCGCATGCTTTGACAGAATTCTTTGCGTCGATAATGCAGCGAACCCCTATCGATTGAATCCCTCCCACCTTATTCCATCCCACCCCACTCCACACCCCACCGCGCTTAGGGAGTATCTTAGCGTGACAGTTTCGCAAGATGAACGTCATCTCCTCGTACTTCATGCATTATCCAAATTATCAAATAGCTTACGTATTATTTCGAGATAGAAAAAACAAAAAAAAAAAAAAAAGAAAAAACTGGTGATACAAACTCCATAAAAATACATATGTCCATTTTTTTCTATTGAATTTCTTAGTTTTTCCTTAGGATGTACACGCATACATATGCATGCTAGTTATTTATTTCTTATATGGATATGATCGATAGAAAAGGACGAGAATGCAGGTGTGTCTTCTTTCGTACGACGACGCATCATCATCGCCTTTGTTTTTTTTTTGTTGTTATTGTTATTGTCTTTTTTTTTTCTTTTTTTTTCTTACTATTCTCTTAACGTTTTATGATTAATATGTCTCTATATTGAACGAACATATTAAATGTATTTGCAATTTTTATAATGGAAATTCGAATAATGGAATTGTTCCGCTTCGGTAAAATAACGATTGCGTAAGTATACGTAATACACAATGCCAATTGAAAAAAAATCAAGATAAGAAAAAAAAAACGAAAAGGAAAAGAAAAGAATCGTGTATTTTCAATAATAAATATTTCTTTTTTTTTTATTAAAAAAATAATGTACACACAATTCTGTTGAAATTTTTCTTAAAGAAAAAAAGATCTTAATAGAATATCAAAAAGAAAATCCTACAAAGGTTATGTATATATACATCTAAATGTAATTTCGTAAGATCTTTAACATAACCCCTCGCAAAAAAATCTATCAATTTTTTAAATATATATATATATATATATATATACGTGTATGTCTCATTCGTAGATGTAATATATATCAATTGCAAAAGTAACAACGAAAATAACATACATATATCTCTAAAAATAATAGAAAGAGAAAAAAAATATTAATTCATCCATAGTAAACACAATGCCTGTACATAGTCTCACGTTACACGATTATTGCGTCGTTCTTGTTACATCACAATATTGTTACGCGTAATGATACGTTTCTCAAAAGGAGAAATATAAATATTGTCGAATCTATGAACGACGATGGTGGGTGGGTTGGTCTCTCAATGACAGAAGGGAGACCGTTAAAGAGAAAAAGAATCCGTCATGAATGATGAAAAAAATAGAACGAATAAGAACCCGTTGAGAATAATCATTAAAGAAATGTTCTGATGCATTCATCAATCGGTTGCATCAGTTGATGCATCAGTTAATTAATCAGTCAGTCAATTTGGCATTTTGTTCTTCCCCCCTCTCTCTCTCTCTTTCTCATTCACATGTGCTGCTACTCCCTACTTCTTCCTCAATGTTCTCTCTCTCTCTCTTTTTCTCTTTCTCTCTCTTTTATCCCCACCACTTTGTCATGCTTTGTTTCTTTCTCGCTCCGACTGTCCTGCCCTTCCTCATAACCTCCCTCTTCTTTTCGCATACCCTTCGCTCCTCCGGTGCACTCATTCCGTTTCTTTCTAAAGCGATTATGAATCCAACTCTTTCTGTTCCTTTCTAAAGCGATTATGAATCCAACTATCCTACTCTATCGCGTGCCGCATTGCGCGTCTATTCCTGCGCACGCTCAATGCAGGGGGAAGAGAGATAGGCATCGAAACTTTTTGAAAACTTTTCTTCTGAAGGCAAAGCCAATTCTTTCTTCCTTCCGCAACCGCAAGTGATATTTAGTACGAAGATTACTCCTCTCTGTTTACATTTTATGTAAATTTTCTCCCCACTCCCCTCATCCACACCCCCACCCCCGATTGATTTTTGCCGTTTAATACACACGCGTCATATATGGATATACATAGGATATGTACATATATATATCATATAATAGGACGACGCAACCCGCCTCACAGCAGCAGACGTCGAGGAATATAAAGAAAACTCTCGTCCAATTAGATTGAACGTGTGTATATATGTACGTGTGTGTTCCGCATCGCTCTTAGCGCATTATACACCTGCATATATGTATCTATATATCTGTATGTATGTATGTATATATATGTATACTGCAGAGCTTACGACAATGCGTAAAATACGAAGCAGCAAAGACGACCATCCTCCTTCTCTTGTCTTCTTCCTCTTCTTCTTTACTTCCCCTACTTTTTAACCTCCTAAGTAACCTCACCTCTCTAACCCTCCTCCTCGTTCGTCCCCACGCCCTACCCTTTAACCTCACCCTTTATCTTTTTTCTTTCTTCTTTCTTACTCGAAATCACATACCGAAGAAAGCCATACCGAGACCGGCTTTTCATGTAGCACGTCAAATTTTCTGATCTCGTTACAACGCCAGAGAGAGAGAGAGAGAGAGAGAGAGAGGGGAGAGAGAGAAAGAAGAAGAGTATCATCGACTGTAGTTTTTTCTTTTTTTATTTTTTTATTTTTTTTTCTTGCCGTATGGTTTCTGACGTGTGACACAGTTTTTCTAAAAACCTCTGTTCCCTTCCTCCCTCAAGTCGATCGATCCAAAGGAGAAAAACAGTCCCGATTTTTGTCTCTCGTGTTCAAGTACATCGACTCGTCGACTCGATAAATAAACATAGAATGATCGTTATTAAGAAGGGACGTAGAACATATACGCGAAAGGTTATAAAATACATACATATATTGTAAGAGACGAAAGAGAGAGAGAGAGAGAGAGAGAGAGAGAGAATTTATCGATCATGTTTAAAAGGTTGTCGCACTGCACGCAAACTGAAAGTAAGCTGAAACTCCCACTCTCTCTCTCTCTCTCTCTATTTCTCTCTTTCTAAGGGTACGATAGATAGATTTTTTTGCAAACGTTTTGGGTCAAGTACGGTATTAGTAGCTACGAATAGAAACCCGAATTGTGATTAATCGTTCGATGGGGGGAAGGGACAGAAGCATGTATGTATGTATCTTTAAATAAAATAATCGCCCCTTGACTCTTTCTCTCTCTCTCTCTCTCTCTCTCTCTCTTTAGTGCAGGCCAATCTCCTTTTTCAATTTATATCTTCCTTCCTTCCTTCCTTCCTCTCCAGCCTACCTTCTAGCTTGCTTACTTGCGTACTACGAGTTGTAGGATACTGCATACCGTCTCGAGTTTCGAAAGTACACGCCTTAGGTGTAAATTATGCCAAAGCACTTAGGGGTAGATAATAGCATCTCTCAGGTTTTATTCCCCGCGTGCACGGAAGACACTTTCCCGCTAACGAACGATTCCTTATCTCTCTCCTGATGGAATTCACGGAATTCCTTGGGATTTTCCCACGATCGTATTTGAGACTAATTTTTTCTTTCTTTCTCCTTTTTTTTTTATTATTATTAATTTCTTTTCCTTATTTATTACAACGCAACCGACAAATTGGAGCTTGTATATTGGAGAAGGTCTAATAATATACAATTGCAAAGGATGGAAAGAGACTTTGAGGGAGAGAGGGAGCAATAGCGCGTTGAGAAAGACAGTTGAGAGGACAAGGGAGGGAGAAAAGAGATAGATAGATAGATAGATAGAGGGAGAGAGAAAGAGAGAGAGAGAGAAAAAAAAAGAAAGAGAAGGGCGGGTGATAGTATTGCAGATGTTACGACGATTCCCCTTTGCTTTTTCATTCAACGCCGCGTAGATGGCATTCGTCAAAACATCGATTAGTTTTTGTTACCATATCGTTGGATAAAAATTAGAAGATCGAAGGAAAGATAGCAAGAAGGAGGAGGAGGAGGAAAAAGAGGTGGCGGATGAGGAGAAAAGAGGGGGGAGGGAGCGTGTACGGAGCAAGTAATCGATATAGAAGCATCTAGACCTCTCAAAGTCTTATTTTACTTGACGACGAAACAACGAAAAAACGATATTACTACGCCTAACGATTTGAATGTAGGATCTACTTTCGCAATGGACGTTTAACCGGTGACCGATTTGAATTTGTTAATAACTGAATGCTTTACTGGAAGAAATAAAGATCGCATAAGAAAAAGAGAGCCTAAGCTTTCTTTAGTTGGGAACGCTCGGAAGGTCGTACAATATATCGGCAATAATATCAACTCATGGGTCTTCGAAATCAAAGAGTTATCTCGATTGTATCGAAGAAAAGTCGAGGAGATAGATAAGAGAGCGTACTATCTTAGGTATAGGCTGAGAAGGGATGATAGGGGGAATCCGATTATCGGAAGGAGATCAGGGATCGAGGGAGAATGCAAGGGAAGGGTGTATATAGCCTAAAGGGAAGGAAAATTAGCTTTGGGCGGTCCAGAATCAGAAAGGAGATAAAAGGGGAAGTGCAAGTGGGAAGGAAGTACGAAAGAAACAGGTAAGAATAGATATGCAGGAAGCCGGCTTTGACCAGGTGGTCGACGATATTAACAATGCTGATAATGATAATGATGATGATAATGATAATGATAATGGTGATGATGATGATGATGATGATTATGATGATGATGATGATGATGATGATGATGATGATGATGATGATGATGATGATGACGACGACGATGATAATGACGACGATGATGATGATGATGATAATAATAATAATGATGATGTTAACGATGACGACGACAACGACGACAGTGATGACGATGACAAGGAAGAGAACGACGAAACGACGGCGAGGACGACGACGACGGAGGCGGCGGCAACTGCGGCGATGATAGCGGTGGCGGTGGCGGTGGCGGCGGTACACCGCGCGCGGCTGCCTGACGCATTGCAGGTGCGCGCTGGCCAATCACAGGGCCGTTTAGTTCGCCCGGACTTGTCCTGTAAACACGGGACCGCACCCACCCCGCATGCGAAACGTCTTCGCAAGTCCAAGCGAGGAAGCCCTCGTTGCGGGGCACGACGTGGAGCCTGCGTACGTTTCCTTCTCGAAGCGCGTCGAAGGGACGCACGTACGACGTTCTTTTCGTACGTAGGAAGTCCTTAGTGGTCCTAGTTCTCGCGCGCGTAGCAAACGGCGCGCTCGTGAGTGGCGCGTACGCTACACCTCTCCCCGCCTACTAGACTCTCGAAGAGCGTGATTGGTCGACGATCGTAGGAGCGAGTGGTGGGGGTTGGCCGGCGTAGTGATACCCGGCCGGCCGAGACTTGCGGCAGAGCCCTCGCACACCGATAGAGAACGGTGGACTCCATTGCTGTCCTGAGTGCGTTTCTCGTCGGCCGCTGGTGTCGTATCCGCTGTGTCTCTGTCTCTATTTCTCTGTCCGGTATATCTCTTGTCTCTGCTCTCTACGCCGCGCCCGCTCGCGCACGCAGCTACACACAAATACTTTTCTCCTTTTATTCTCGCTTGCTTCAATTCCCTCTGCGCAATTATAATACGTCGTACCGTTACGAAGAGGACAATATTGTGAATAATACCGCTCGCTCTCTTCCTGTGTCTAGTGTCCCATACGGGTAAAGCTCCGTAACTTTCTCGAAGGAGCCTGAGAAGAAGCGAAAAGTAATGGTAAGTCTTATTTCGTCTTATTTCTCTGTCGCGATACGTTATTAATATATACGAGAAATAAAAGCTCACTTGTGTCGGTCCGGACGTCGTTTCAACGACGGTGTATCCTTGTATCGTCGTTCTCACTGTTTCTCTCTTTTTATCTATCTATTTATCTATCTCATCTCACTTTTCTCACACACACACACACACACACACACAGAGTCTATTTATCTCTCTCTGCGTTGACGCGCCACCGAGCGTGCACGTGCCAGTAAACGAGTTTCATCGTTGAATTTCGTACACTTTTGCAAGGAGCTTCCCTAAATCGTCTTCTCTTTCGTTATGGAAAGAGAGAAACGTTTTCGTATTCATTATCGTCATACTTCCTTTTCTATCATCGAGTAACGGCAATAGAAATTGGCCGCAACGGTGGCAGCAGTAGCAGTAGCAGCAGCAGCCGGCTCGAGCCGGGATCGTACCGGGATATCGTGTCGGATATCCTCTCTCTCGCCCTGGCACATCGATCCGCTCTTTCTCCTCTCTCTCTCTCTTTCTCTCTCTCTCTCTCTCTCTCTCTCTCTTTCTCTCTTTCTCTCTTTCTCTCTCTCTCTTTTGCTCGCTCTGCTACCTCCTGCTAGTAGTATATGTATAACTAATTTTTATACTTGGATGGAGGCATGTCGATTAAAACCGTCACAAGGAATCATTTTAAAAAGGAATTGTGCAATCCCCCTCCGTATTTCGTTTGTCTCTTTGAACGAAGACTAAATGTGAAACGAACGACGAACGAAATATATATATATGTATGTATGTATATTCGTTTCTTCGAAAAAGGGTAGATGAAAAAGAAAGAGATAGATAGAGTGTGAAAAGGGGAAGAAGAGGAAGGAAGGTAAAAGCATCGTGTCGCAGCCGGCGAAATAACGCCCTTACGTGCTCGAGAAACCGTGTTAACGTGTATAACGGTCAGATCGATGACGAGCATATCGCATACGCACGACTTGTTTTAGTTTGAAGTTGTTCCACTTTTCCAAGAGTCGCACATCAACGCCATTCGGTTAATCGTCTTGAAATCGCTATTTCCCCTTCACAAACGAAAGTAACTTGCAAAATATCATCACTAACTTTCTCAGACGATTCGGTTTCTATTGGGTTTTTTGTATGATATCGTTGGTATTGCTGTCGTCTCTCTCTCTCTCTCTCTCTCTCTCTCTCTCTCTCTCTCTCTCTCTCTCTCTCTCTCTCTCTCTTTTTCGCGATGTATAATATAGTACAGTAACAACGAACAAAAATTCTTAACGATAGTAAAATTTCCATTAACTGATAGTACCATTTTCATTCTCTTATCCAGTTAATTTTTTTCATTCTTTAAATAAGTTATAATAATAAGAGAATATATACTTCGTTTTTAGGATATTATGGATAGGTAGGGATCTACCATTGAAAATCGGCCTATAAAGAGAGATCCGAAGTTAGATACAGGACCGGTAAATGACGTATTTTCAACATGTTTAATCTTTTCTCGCTAACTTCACGATTAATCTAGACTCATTTCAATATACATATGTATATATAAATAATATAAAAGTACAACAAATATATATGTTGTACTTTTTTTTCTATTGAACAAGCCTTTAGCATTTATCATGAAGTGAGTTCATCTTTCGCAAATGAGATATATCGTGAAAATAGAAATGAAAGAGATAATCGAAATCTTTAAATGAAATTTCATAGAAATAACTATGAGACGATAAACGAGCTTACAATGATTCTTCTTCTTTGAATCACTTATGATTATGCTATATACATATATATGTGTGTGTATATATATATATGATAGTTTTTAATAATATATAGCTCACTTTCATGACACACTGCGTACCCCTCTGTGTGTAATACATGTATATATTATATACAGCTTTCGTGGCAGAGAGTATTGTAATGTGGCGTGGTATTCGACAATCAACTGTTCTACGATATACCTTGCTATTGATTTTCGCGGTCTCTTAGTACGGCGCCGATTCTCTCTCTCTCTCTCTTTCTCTTTTATTTTCTAACTCTAAAATTTTTCTTCACTTTTCTATGCTATTTTTGACTCATACGAATTTTATAATCCATTCCCTCCAATGAAAGTATATCCTTCAATCCTTTATTTCGTCTAAAAAATATAGGTTATGTTCTTTTATTTATGAATAGTTTCACTACTTCGTTTCTTATTCTTGTCTCTCTCTTAGTAGTAGTATAAGTAATGGTATAATAAATGCAGAAAGCAGTTTAGAATGTGGGCTAAGGAAAAAAAAAAGAAGAACGATTCATTGTAAAGGTCTAAACTCTAACGATCGATCTCCGTTTTAATCAAAGAATGATGACGATAATGATGGTGGCGTGAGCTACAATGGGTATACACACACATACACACGTGTGCGTATATATATATATATATGCATATATATATATAGAAACGAATAGATTTTTTGAATTTTTCGATGATTAATTAATTCTCCTTTAAAATAAGTCGATACTAATAGCATATGTATGTACATATACGTATTTATATGTAATATATGTGTGCGTCTGTATGTATGTTTATCGTATATCGATAAAAAAATTCAAGGAGAAAATATACTATTTTAACGGACCTTGTGCTTGTGTGACACTCCCTAAGGGAAGATAAAACAACATAGAGAATTGTGTAAGAAAATATTGTGTAAAGAAAATGTTCTTTCTTGATTATTTTAGATTAATCGAGATTAATCAAGATAAATCGAAAGTACCTATCACGTAGATCGAGCAATGTAATTAAAAGGAAAAAATAAAAATGGAAAAAAAAAAGAAAGAAAGAAAAAAAAAAAAAAAAAAAAAAAAAAAAAAAAAAAAAAAAAAAAAAAAAAAAAAAAAAAAAAAAAAGAAATAAATTGGATCTTGTATGAATCAGTTGGGAATTAAGAAAATAATACACATACGATTGATAAGATTAGAGAATTAATTCTTTTTCTGCATTTACAGTATTCCTAACTCTTGTCTTCGTCGTATCTCTTATCTTTGCGTGAATCACTCGAATGATAACTTATATCATCTAATTATTCTTTACAAAACCTTCAAATGTTATATAAACTTTATTATTTATTTATTTATTTATTTATTTATTTTTTTTTTCTAATTTTTCTTCTTAAAGAGGGTGGGAAAAAGAAAATCGATGAACTATTTTCATTGTCGTTCAAAGTTACGAACATCTAATTGAGGCAGAGAAATATTTTGTAGGTTAGAAATTATATGTATATATTTATTATTTTTTTTTATTTTTATTTTTATTTTTATTATCTTTCTTTTTATTTCTTTTTTTTTTTTATTTTTATAAAAAAAGAATATATATATTAAAGAATTTGATGCAATGTCTTCAATGTTCGTTTAAGAAAAAGAAAGACAATTTATTTTATTGCAAAATAAAAATCATTTATATTTTTGTCGATAGGCCGACCAACTGACGGAGGAACAAATCGCAGAATTCAAGGAGGCATTTTCGCTATTTGACAAAGATGGCGATGGTACTATAACTACCAAAGAATTGGGTACCGTTATGCGATCTCTTGGTCAAAATCCCACGGAAGCTGAACTTCAAGATATGATTAACGAAGTGGATGCAGATGGTATATAAAACAATATACATTAAATCTCTTCTTCGATAAAAAGATAAATAAATACGTTAACACATATTCTCGATTAAAATTTGCCTTGGAAAAAAAAGAACACAATCTACGAAAAAATAACATTTTTCAATTTTCTTTATAGATAATACCCGATGATTTTTATTTTCTTTTTCTGGAACGCTATGTGTTCACGATAGTTTTATCGATTCATGCTACTTAGGTATACATCTTTTTAGTTCATAATTATATAGGTATATATATATAATATATATATATATCATACATATAAGTTTAGACGTGTTTTATTTAAACGTGGTGTACCGCTAAAAACACGTTATATTTTTATAATGCATACATCATTTTTCTTCATCTTTTCTCTCTCTCTCTCTCTCTCTCTCTCTTCTATCCATATTATCGTATTTTTTTACCATTTTTTAGTTTATCCTCGGAGCTCTTATTTTCCTCGTATACATCATGCGACGGATTTCAGGTAATGGCACCATCGACTTCCCGGAATTTTTGACCATGATGGCACGCAAAATGAAAGATACTGACAGTGAAGAGGAGATAAGGGAGGCGTTCAGAGTGTTTGATAAAGATGGTAACGGTTTCATATCCGCGGCAGAACTTAGACACGTCATGACAAATCTTGGAGAAAAGCTTACCGACGAAGAGGTCGACGAAATGATTCGAGAGGCTGACATCGATGGAGACGGCCAAGTTAATTACGAAGGTTTGTATCTATTTATCTATCTATCTATCTACGTATTAATATTAATATTATTATTATTATTCTATTATGCTAAAACTCTCTCTTTCTCTTTCTCGCAAGTAGAAATACCTAGTGTCATTTGCAGATGAGTTTTTGTTTGAATCCAGAGATAGAAGAGATTCTGATCCACAGAGTGTATTAAAAGTTCCTAGGTCTCCTAGGATTGTAAAACTAAGCAGCTAGACTGGGATTTACAATCTGAAGGGAAAGAAATTAATTAATTTTGAAAATCACTTTGGAACTTTTGATCCACTCTGTGTATTAATTTATTGCATCCTTCCTCCTGTATGTGTACACCATATCAAGGTAGTTGTTTTTAATGTCGAATATACGATGGCTGTAAATTCCGTATTAATTCTTTTAGAAAAGTTCCCAAGTGTAAGAATTGTAAAACTACAAGCTAAGCTTGTTTACAATTTGAAGAAGAAAAAACAAATATATATATATTAACTTAAAAAGTTTCAAGAGAAAAAAGATCAATTGGTTTTTAAAATCACTTAGGAATTTTTGGCCCATTTTATGTATCAGTTTATTAATTACATCCTCTCCTCTGTGTATGTGTGTGTACCACATTATCACTTTACCAGTTGTCTTTTGAATATACGATGACTGTAAATTTGGAATTAATTCTTCTAATAATGATGAAATGTATATTTTTTGTGATATTGTTATTTCTTTATCCAGAATTCGTCACAATGATGACATCAAAGTGAATGCAACCAGTATAATGGAAGAACTTGCGACTTGAAGTGGTGTTGACGTACTAAATAAAAAAAAAAAAAAAAAATAAAAAAAAATAAAAAAAAATCAAGATGCAGAGTATAAAATATATGTAAAACACAAAATGCGAACCAACCAGAAAGTGAAAAACAAAACCTTGTATCCGGATGTGAAGTCTACATATATATATATATATATAAAAAATCCGCGCGGAAGGTCAACGCCCGATACGCGTTAATCATCTCGTTGTCGATAAGTAAAAAATACAGGGCAAATCAACTGTTTAAAGAGCTATACCGCTAAAATCATTATCTCTGTCGAGCATATATACTTACAAAATACATAACACACACACACACACACACACACACATAAATACACTCGCACTCACACAACACACACACATGAACAGGTAAAAACAATTAGAAAAAATACATACGCATATAACATATAACACACATGTACACAAATACACCCGCACAGTCGTTTTATTTCTGTTCAACAATAACACAAGAAAAAAAATTGAGAAAGAAAGAAAAAAAAAATTAAAAAGTGATATACATTTAAACGTAAGATGCATAGTTGTGCGCTTATGTTCTCTAATTATAAAAGAAAGAAACTTATGAAGAGAGAAAGAGAAGTGCATTTCCTTTTCATCTCTATCCGTTTTTCCACACTCGTTCTATCTATCTCTTCCTCTTTAAACTCTTTAAATTGTAAATCTTATTATTATATCTGTGTCACACATATATTTTCCTTCTCCTATAAGCCTTTTACCTTTTACTACTACTCATCTTCATTTTCATTGTCACATCAATAAAAAAAAAAAAAAAAAAAATTAAAAAAAAAATTAAAAAAAAAATTAAAAAAAAAAATTTTAAAAAAAAATTAAAAAAAAATTAAAAAAATGCACGTTGGAATAGTGAAAAATTTTGGTAAAATGAAGGAGAGAAATGCGCCCAGAGGAAAAAATGAACCAGAAGAAAAAGAGATAGAAAGAGGAAGAAAAGAAGGATAGAAAAAGGAAGAAACGCTATGTAGCGTTATATTATTGCATCGCAGTTTTACTTACCGCGTGTACATCTGTCGATTTTATTTTAATTAACGAAGTTTGTAGTGACTGAGAGAGTTATGGGATAAATATCCTGCAAGTGTGGTAAATTCCACTACGAAAATATGTATGAATAGCATAACTATATCTTTTAATAAGGAGACTTCGGTCTGGACCTCATTTTCTAGGGAGAGAGAAAAAGAGTATAATATAGAGAAAAAGACAGCGAAGAAATCTGAGTTGTGTGTGTCGATTATCTTTAAAAAAAAAAAAAAAAAAAAAAAAAAAAAAGAAAAAAGAAAAAAAAATAATAAGAAAGAAAAAAGAGGATATCCGCCGATAAGTAGTGGCACATCGTGTACTACTAAGTAACACCTTTAGCTTGCGCGTCACTATAGATTATATGATAATTTATATAAGAAAAATGAAAATATATACATAGCAGTGGAAGATGGCAAGCAGCACTTCTTATAGATCTCAAATAATGATACATTTTTTGGCACCTTGTCTCCTTCGAAATTGATTAATTGTCTACGTCATGCGAGGAATCGTGTTAATAAGGAAAACAATATAATAATAATAATAATAATATAATAATAATAATAATAATAATAATAATAATAATAATAATAAAGAAATTATAACAAAAAAAAAAAAAAAGAAAAAAAATGAAGAAGTAAAGAGAACATTACTTGTATCGCGGATTAGTTAGAAAGCTCCAGATCGAGATCTCTGCGTTCCTATGGATAAGCTTCTTTTTTCCCTGTGCTTTTTCACGTTGCGTCTCGTTTCGCATTCGTAACGCGTTTACAAGTCGCACGTGCACGTACATATTACACATACGACATATACGACACATACACATTACAAACACGTAGAGAGATAGAGAGAGAGAGAAAGAAATTGTGAGAGATTGAGAGAGTAAGAGAGAGAGAGAGAGAGAGAACAGTTACCATGCATATACATACATATACACACACGCACACTTATATAGAAAAAGAAAAACATAGAAAATTAAATTACAGTAAAACAAAACAATAACAACAACAACAACACATTATACAACATTTAATAACAAAGTGTGTTTTATCTCCGGTTCCGTATAATCTCCTGTTTTTATCTTGCCTTCCATCGAGGAAACCTCATAATAACACTCGTGCGCAAAAACCATCTCACGTCGACACCACTTTTGTTGGATAAAAAAGGAAAAAAAAGTTTAAATGGATAAACAGGGGATGATGATGATGATGGGGTGTTAAAAGGAAGTCAAGCTACACAAGTGATCGGTGCATTGCTTTTCTTCGCCCATGGGTGCGTCGTGTCAGTCTCGTTAAGCGGAGAAAGAAAGAAAGAAAGAAAGAAAAGAAAAACGAAAGAAAAGAAAAAAGAGAGAGAGAGAGAGATCACAACCAGAACGGAGAAAACTGGTGTAAATTTGTGCGATCCGTACGCGATAATGTTACTTAAAAACTTGAGAGCAAAGAACAACACACGGTAACACGACGCGTAATAAAACACATCTAAATGCGTGTATGTGCATCCGGGGGTTGTTCAGACATAATATATATGTAATATATATTATATATACATAAAATTAATTTGCGACAAAATGAAGAGAAAAAAAGAAACAATTCCTCCACAGTCCTTTATTATTATTATTTAATATTGAAGTGAAAAACAGAATAAGAAAAAAAGGGTGAACTACTACTTGTATTTCTGGTGACCTAGATTGCATTGATTATAAAAAGACAAAATAAATGTATCCTCATTTTTAGGTCACAAATATTTATTACTTGTCCTTTTTTAATTACCAATAGACCTCTCATTTCAGCTCTCTTTTCATCTTTTTTAGCATTTCATGAATGGCACTCAGATTCCTTTGCTAAAAAATAACGCGTTTCGTTATTCGTGACAAAACGTATTTTACATACATATCTGCGTGTAATTAAATAAAATCTCTCGCTTGTAAAATCTTCCTCCTCGTGAATTAGATATTATAGATCGCAGCGCAGGACATTGATGATGAATATGCATTTACGCAATTGGTAATTGCTTCATACGTGTGATGTCATTTGTGAACATAAACTTGTCTCTCGGTAAAATTAGTCTAAGCGATATATGTCGATATATTTTCACTTTATAAAATTCATTTTTCAATTTCATCCTAAAAAGAAAAAAAAAATATATATATATATATAGAAATCGTGCGTTGCTTGATACGATTCGTATTTTTAAGTTCCTCTCTTTGATCATGCTTTCATTTTCTGATTTATCATTTAACCAAGGAAATGTTTTCATTAATTGCGACAACCTTTGCAATTTACGTTTTCACTTTCATTCGAAGAAAATGCTTCAGTTGTTATAGGATTATCATTTGTATGTTATTAATGCTGTTTTAACGATTTAATCGTTCCATTAAGAATCAGTGATTGTTTTTACTTTTTAAGAGATTTCTCTGAAATAAACTAGTTTTATTTTTTTTTTTTTTCTGTTGCCAAATATATAGACATTTGATTAATTTATTATTGAAAATTTTTTGTTATTCGATTATTATGTTATTCCTGATCTTAGATCTGAGGATATTAATTTAATTATAAGATTAGAATTGCTTGCCTTTTACATTGATTAGTGATTATTATATAAACAATATGGCAGAAGTACTTACCTATTTTCAATGCATCGTGTCAAAAATGGTTGCAATCAGCGTTTAATCTTTCAGATAGTAAAAATTAATCATGGATGTTTCTTAACACTTCTTATCGTACATAAGGAAGCAGCACAGTTTGTATAAAATGTTAATGTTGAGTTAATAAATTGTTCCAATGTATAAAAATGTGCATATGTCTGTATTCCTGCTTTATGTTAGTTGTTACTTTGGCAATCTCACAATCATATGAAAGAACATTATAAGAAAAACAGAGATGTAGTAAAAAAAATTCAATATAAAAATTAATTTATGTTTTGTAAAAATTAAATATGTTTTGTAAAAAGTAAAGAAAAACAGATGAATAAGTGTTTTCAAAAATATATTTCATAAAGGTATTTTCAATTCATTAGATTCAAATGAAGCTCATTGATTAAAAACATCATTTAACATATAATATACTTTGATCATAGACAACCTTCAGGTTTGATTTTAAACAGTAAACATACTTCTTGTAATAAGTTTTTCAAGATTTTAGCCTGGTCCTTAACGCTCTAAAATAATTATGTTATGTTTAAATAAATAGAAAACAAATATTAATACATAGTTAGGATTATTATATACTTACATCATTAAGAGAGATTGTAGGTATAAAAGAAATTCGTGGCTTAAGAGCACTTGTCAATTCTCCGTATTTAGCTAAAAGTTCTTTCCCTTTTGCTCCGGAATAACATTTGGAAATAACATTAGAATCCACATTCATTTTCTGTGCACAAATTTCCATGATATTTTCTGGATCTATATTATTTTTAATCATGCAAGATAAGTAATTCAATAGAAGTGATTGATCTTTTATAAGATCAATGGCGCATGCATGTATTATATTTCCTTGGCATTCAATTGGTCCGTGTTGACATTTAAATTCATAAGTATGATCCTTTTGTGTTGTCTAGAATATACAAATTTTTTATTATTAGCTATCATTACTATTATGAAATGTTTTATTTTATATAATTATAATATTTAAATATATTACTTTACCGTAGCTTTTCCATATGGTATCAATGTGATCTGTACATTTTCCTTTAGTTTCATATAAGTTGGCAATAAATGATATACAAAAAAACTTCGTGAATCAGGACACAGAGTCTCATAATATACAGTTATATGAACTATTTCTTTTGCATTAACTTCCTTCTCTATTATCCTTACTTCGCTTTCCAAAAATTCTTCTATTTAAATTGATAAAAAATAGTTAAGAGAAACTTAACTTCATATTGCATGTAATTATCGAGCTTTTTGTCAAATAACTATAAACATATATGTATAAAAATAATTTTTTCCTACCTTCTGTAACATGATCTTGTGCAAACGATAACCATATTTTTGAAGATTGCCATAGAAATATAATTATAATAACAATCAGCAATAGTTTCCATCGAAAACTACCTAACCCCATTATCTAAATTTTTTCTCTATAAATACTAAAATATAAAATTAAGAATTAAAAGATATTTTATGCATATATATAATTATATAAATATTAACTTACCAATATGTAAGCGTATCCATAAAGATTGCAAACATACAGACATTATTTTTATACCTATTTTAAAGGTCCATATGTTGATATGATGTTTTAAGATGACACCACGCACAAATTAATTTTTGACTGTAAAAATTAAAAACATTAAATCTTTTACCTATTAAATAATAAATAATAATACTCTGATAAAATTAAAACATACTTGCTTAACTTTATTATATATCTATGCTTTTGATAAAACAAAAAAAAACACTTTTATCTTTCCGATAAATATATTATTTCACCTTCTTATGTTTCAAGAAAATGTATGAACGTTAATTGACACGTATTCCGGTATAATCAAGAAAGAAAAATATTTGTCATTAATCTTTTGACAAACATTCAAAAGGTATAACCTCATACAATAATTGATAAAGTTAATATAAATTGTTTCATTGTAAAGAAAACTTTACGATAATTTTTATTTCTTCTATAATAATTGTTAATTCGCGTAACAACACCGTAGTTGTATTTTTCTTTCGCTGGGTGGCGGTACAAAAATTTACCGATGCATGCCATTTTAAGAAACGCGCCAATCGTTCACTTTATTTAGATATAATAAGTCATACATATGTTTAGTTCGATATTTCGAGTTTCGATAATTTTACTATACGATAATATATCGTACATGATAATGTATATATATGCGTATTCACGGATTTACACATTTAGTCAAATGTCTGCTTGATTGGATATACGTGGTTTAACATAACCTATAAAAGGTATAAACAAAGTCAACTTCTTAATAATTTTATTAATTGTATTAATTGTGTAAAATAAAAGAACAGGAATAACAGAGTTTAGAGAATTAAGGTATTCATAGGAATAATTATTTTAATATTATACAATAAAATATGGAAAAGGATCGAAAACCACTTGTATTATTAGAAGAATATGGGATACCAAATGTAAGTTAATAGAAATATGAATTATTATTATTGAACTGTTATTATATATTATATTACTTTTTTGTAGATGGCAGAATATTCTTACGAACCATGGAGCTTACAAAAATTTAAAGAAGTAATATAAATACATTATATATAACAGTATCTCTCGATTGAAATTTCAATGTATAATATTTAATTCATTATCTTTTTTTTATAGACATTTAGAATAGAAATCGTAAAGGAGTCCAAAGATGAAAGAGAATTAGAATTTGATCTGATTGGTTGTCATTCCTCGCTTGCAAATGCTTTACGCAGAATACTCTTAAGCGAAGTACCAACTATGGCTATTGAAAAAGTTTTTATATTAAATAATACCAGTTTAATACAAGATGAGGTATTGGCACACAGGTAATATATGGATATATATTAAATTCAAAATTAAAATTGTGCGTATTAATACAAATTTATTAAATATACATAGGCTTGGGCTTATACCTTTAAAAGCTGATCCTAGATTATTTGAATATCCATCTACTAATGAGAAAGATGAAAATGAGGTTAGTGATCAGGACACATTAAGGTATGAGATGAAAGTGACATGTTCTTGGAATCCACAGCCACCAAAAGACTCTAGACGGCCAAATGATATATATAGAAATAATAATGGTATTTACTATTTATTAATATATAGAATTTTTAAGAATATTTCATGGTACAATGTTAGAGAAGTTTTATATTTTTGTTTCTTAGTTTACAGTAAAGATATTAAATGGATACCAATCGGACGTCAAGCAGAATTATATCCTAGAGGTACAGAACAATTGGGTGTTTTAGAAGGAGATATTTTAGTTTGTAAAATGAGGCCAGGGCAAGAAATTCATGCATTTATGCATGCAGTAAAAGGTATTGGAAGAGATCATGCAAAGTTCTCCCCAGTAGGTATGTACCCTCTTCTTGAAAATTTCTTATATAATTTTGATATATTCAAATCATAAAAGTTTATGTAGAAAGTTAAAATATTTTTATTCCATATAGCTACCGCTTCATACAGGTTATTACCAGATATTCAAATAACAAAAACCGTAAGAGGAGAAATGGCTCAACGTTTGAAAAGTTGCTTCAGTCCTGGTGTTATAGAAATTGTAGAACGCCAGAAAGGCGATCCAAATTCACGAGAAGCTGTGGTAAAAAATGCTCGCTATGATAGCTGCTCTCGCAATGTTTTCCGTCATGATGATTTAAAGGATTGTGTGCAACTAAGTCGAATAACAAATCATTTTATTTGTGAGTTCATTAATTTATCTTAAATTAGTAAAAAATTTGTTTTGCATTTATGTATATATTATTTTGTTATTTACAGTTACTATAGAATCTGTTGGTGCATTACCATCTAGTATATTATTTACAGAAGCAGTTAAAACATTAAAATCAAAATGTAAAACATTTATAGAAGAACTTGAAAACCCATCATAATAAATTTCATATCTTATATTCTAAGTACAAGAAAAGAAATGTTTTCTTATAAATGATTTATTGTCATTATAACCTCATACATTATAGGTTTTCTTCAAAGTTATTTGTACTTATTGTTACAAGCATGGAACATTTTTCAATATTATATAAAATCGTTGTATTTTGAAAGACGGCAATAACATTAATATAATTGCATATTTTCTTCAAAGTTATTTACATGAAAATGTTGATATGTAAAATATTATATTAAAATTTAGATAGTTTTAGACGTATGTATAACATTTTCTCTTTTTTTAAATTTGTATGTAAACATGAGGCAAAAAGAAATATTGTAAAGTTATCATTTTATGCAACACTTTTCTAATTTAACATATAGCTATGCGTATGAATTCCTGATTATTTATAATAATATGTGATATAATTTGGAAGCCATATTAATCAATATTATAAACAATTAGTTATACTAAAAATAGGATATCTTTAATATTTTCATGAATAATTTAAATGAAATTAGAGCTCAAACACAATTGAAAACTTCAATTATAAACATGAAATATTACAGAATGGAGCATGAGCTTTTTTCACGAAAGGGATTAGACTTCTGCGATGAGAAACCAACCAAGAGACAATCCTCTTGCTCGTGTTCAGTAATGTACTTCATAATATCTTCAATGGCTTTGCTCACCATTATGCGCTTGATTGCAGCTTCACGGCGCAATTGCTCCGTGATCATACGTTGTTGTTGTAGATTTGTAATCACCATGTCCATAACAGCTATATTCAAATAAGTTAAATGGTTGTAACTTTGATTAATATTGAAATACTGTAAAAAATAAGGAATAGCATTTAAACAATTCTGTCGAATAAGTAAACTTTCCATTGCAATCTTTAAAAAGATCAATTTCAATAGGAAACTTACACTCAGTCCTTTCAACGATATAAGAAAACTATGAAAAAATTTAAATTTATATATTTTCCGTTACTCCTTATTAATCGTGTCTCTTTAAAACTCTAAAACGATCTAAAAAGGAAACAGAAACTTAAGAAGAGGAAACCAAACCCTACATACTACAAAGATATGACGTATATGATTATTTATTCTCCTCGTGTATATAACCTACCACGGAGGAGATATGACAGACTCTCCTCTCATTGGTCACAATTTTAGGCCAATCAGATTTAATCTCATAATTTTCTCAAATCACTGCTTGAAAAACAAAAAAATATTAATAATATATTTCTAATTATCTATTAATTAATTAATCTGTTTAAAGGTAATCAAATTATTATTAAAATATTTTTTAAATAATAAAAGCAATATTTAAACTCTCAATAACGTTAAATTATTTCTTTTGGATATATAAAGTTAAAAAAAAAAAAAGAAAAAAGAAAAAAGAATAATAAAAGAAATAAAACATTTGATTAATGCAATATTATATAATATTATTTGAAAAAAAAAATATATATATATCAATAATATTATAATATATTATTTAAATTTTTCCAATATATAAAAATAATTCTGACATTGTTGCGTATAGTAATATGTGACTTGTGTGTTTCTACTACCTGCAAGACCTGTAGTACCGATAAACACAGCCTCGTCGTTTGGCATCGACGTTCCCGCGCTGGTCTCTTCCTAGCTTATTTATTCTCCTTGCATGAAGTTAGATTGTTCTTTGTCGGGAGGGCGTGAGTTTTCCACGATATTCGCGCGAATATTAACGTGACGATGCCGAAAAGAAAGAATCAAGCATTAATAGATTCTGAAAGTAGTGGCAGCGCATCGGAAAGTGGCTCGGATTTGGATAATGTAAATAATATAACCTTATATACAAATCACACATACTATCTTGTCGATATTGTGTCATTCTCTTATAAAAGGAAACGTTTTTATTTTTATCATTATGAAAATGAAAATTTAATAACTATTAATAATTTAACCCGTAGCCAAATTGTTAATGCATTATTAATCTTTTTGACCAAGGAACAATGCGATACATCGAATGGTTTCGTATAACCTACTTCACGATATGCTAGTATCACTTTTCTTTTTCTTTAAAGTCTCCTACCAATTTTGAAATAAACTAATGCTTCTTATTCCAATATCGATTTAAGGCAAGCAATCATTTTATATTTTATTGTTTTATAGATTATGTGATTTTAGATCTTCATATATGTTAGATTTATTTCTTCATATATGTTTTTTTCCTTACATGTGTATATATACATAATATATATATATATATGCATTTATTATTGGCAACACTTATTATTGACAATATACAGCATGACTACTGTGTATTTTCATCTATTCTTAAAACGAATATGCGAGATAATATTTAAACGAAGAGTATATAGAATTGTCCGTTTGATAAATATCTTTATAAATGTAGGATCTACTGTCACTTGCCAAGAAGAAGAAAGGTAAATCTCAAGATGACTCTCAATCCAATGAAGACAACAATGTTGCTAAGAAAGACGTCAGGCATGATTCTGATACATCAGATTCTGACGATGATTGGGGAGCAAAAACTGGAAAGAGTAAAAAGAAAAAAGCACCGACTAAAAGAAGTAAACGAAAGATGACAAAATCTAGTAGCGAAGATAGTGGAAGTGAAAAGGAATCTGCAAAAGTTTCAGAACCAGAGGAAGGTATGTTACATCATTTAAATTAATCGTGTATTTTCAAGTAAATAAGTTTCGTTTATATTTTAATAAAAAGCGTTTCGTTATGACAGGTGAAGTCTCAGATTCTGATGCAAGCGTTTCGGATTCTAGTCAAGAGGAATTTAATGATGGTTATGATGACAAATTAATGGGAGATGCGGAAGATCAAGCGAGACTAGCACAAATGACTGAAAAAGAAAGAGAACAAGAAATTTTTAAACGGATAGAACAAAGAGAAATTATGAAAACTAGATTTGAAATAGAGAAAAAATTGAGAATGGCAAAGAAACAAGAACTCAAGAAACAAAAGGAATCGAAGAAGAAGGAAAAAGGTGTGGAAGATAAAAAGATAGATAGAGCACCAGATCCTAAGGAGAGAAGTAAAGATCGTAAGAAGACAATAGAGGAGAAACAAGATAAAAAGTTTCATGCAATGTCTTTGCTGAAGGCAAGACGTGAAGAAAAGAAAGAAAGAGGTAAATTATATTATTTAATAAAATATATTATAATCTAATTAAGTTTAATTATATATTGAGTGAATTGGAAAAAGCTTGTACATTTATTTTGTAGAGGAAAAAGAAAAGCAACGAATAGAGCAGCAACAACAACAATCAAAAGATATAGAAGAGGAGGAATTAGAAGATGATCATAAAGGAGGTGCGAATAAGACAAAGTTGAAAGCTTCAGATATTTATTCCGATGACAGTGGTTCTTCGGACAGTGGAGAAGAGGAAACAAGTAAACCAGCATCACATCAAAGGTCATCTTCCAGCGAAAGTAGGGATTCTGATTCTGATAATGACAAAAAGTTAGTATTCTTATATTTACGAAAACATTTCAAAGGAAATTATTTTAATTAAACTTCTTTCTAAACATTAGATCTGTGACCAGTAACAAAGCTAAACCGAAAAAACCATTATACGTCAGTACTAAAGAAGATTTGAACAAAATCAGATTATCTCGCCATAAAATGGAAAGATTTGTTCATCTTCCATTTTTCGATCGGGTTGTACAAGGTTGTTTTGTTAGAATTGGCATTGGAAATAATAATGGCAAGGCGGTTTATAGAGTAGCAGAGATCAGCGGAGTTTGTGAGACTGGTAAAATTTATCAATTAGGTGGTACAAGAACAAACAAAGGATTAAAATTAAGACATGGTGCTCAGGAACGTGTATTTAGATTAGAATTCGTATCGAATCAAGAATTCACAGAATCTGAATTCTTTAAATGGAAAGAGACATGTGCTTTGCAAGGGATATCAATGCCTACATTCGATGAAGTAGAACAAAAATTGAAGGACATTAAGGAGGCCTTAGTATACGAATTCAAAGAAGAGGATATTGAGAAAATAGTAAGAGAAAAAGAAAGATTTAAACAAACTCCATATAATTATGCGATGAAAAAAGCACAATTAATGCGAGAAAGAGATGCAGCCAATTGTAGAGGAGACGATGAAACTGCAAGTCGTCTTAATCAAGAATTGAGCGAATTAGAAGAACGTGCTTCTGAACTTGATAAAATGCGAACAGCAACAATATCAAGTATCTCGTACATAAATGACCGTAATAGGAAAAAGAATGTTGAAGAAGCAGAAAAAGCTATTATGGTAATATCACAGTAACATTCTTAACATAACTAAGATTTTTTTTTTTTTTTTTTTTTTTTTTTTTTTTTAAGGAATTCAACTTTTACATTATGTAATATTTTGAATTTATTAGGAAGAAATAAAAGCTAACAAGGGGAAGAAAGTAGATGATCCATTCACTAGACGTAGTACGAAACCAAGGATGGTTTATAAACCTGACGATGAGGATACACCTTCTGCGACTGGAGCAAATGAAAAGTCAGGTTCTCAACAAATTGGTGACTCTATTTCAATTGGAAATGAAAAAGAAAATGGCCAAGAAGTAAAGAAAAAACAAAGCACGGAAGATTTGTTCAATGCACATGATTTTGATATCACAATAGATTTAGAAGTACCAATCCCAAGTAAGTCAATGATAACATTTTAATTATCTTCCATTAATTCGTAGAAATTATATATAAAGTTTTTTTTATTTTCAGATAATCCCGTTAGCGTTTTACCCAAACCTGTCAGTAATATCAAGGATACAGGACCTCGTCGTTCCTTAAATTTAGAAGATTATAAGAAGAAACGTGGACTTATCTAACAGTTTATTTACCTTAGACTGAATAATGCTGAAATTAATTTATCAACGTTATGTTATAATAACCGATATAAATATCTTAGCTATTTTTGTCACTATTGAAAGAAGGACAAAATTATAGTATTGCTAGCTGCTCATCATAATGATTATTATCTTTTTAAATGATTATTATAGAGAGAGATCATATTGCTATTATTGAGAGAAAGATTTCTTAGTAAACATGAAGAGAGGTTGTCGGTATTATTATAAAAATACTTTTCTTGAATAATAAGCTTATAAGTACTTAAAAAAAAAAAAAAAAAAAAAAGAAAAAAAAAGAAAAAAAAAAGAAAAAAAAGAAAAAAAAAGAAAAAAAAAAGAAAAAAAAATAGAAAAAAAGAAAAGAAAAAAAATGGTACATAGCATTACCATTTGGATGTTGGAAGAAAATCTTAGTTCCACTTTTTCTTTTTTAAATTTCATCATAAATTTAGAAAAGTTTTAGCTCATACACACATACACACAGACACACACACACACATACAAATATTAATTTCTATAACTAGACGATAAATTAAAATGAAATAAATTAAATTAAAAGGAAAAAAGTGGCAAGATATTTTATAATAAAGATATATAGGATCGCGTGTCCTAATATTTTTCTTGTAAGTACTCATGCGTATACTTCACTACTAATTAATTATGTATTTCATATTCATATATAATTTCCCTCTCTTTCTTTCTCTCTCTCTCTCTCGTTTTCTCTCTCTCTCTCTCTGTCTCTCTCTCTCAATCATGAAATTTTTATATTATTCATAATAGAATTTGTAATTATTCCAATACGAGATACTACATATGAAACTTTAGTATAAATAGCTATTAAATTTAATAGTTCTACCATGCTATCAATTGTATAATCTTCCAATGAAGATTTTGTATAATTCTAGTAGTTATCTTTATTGTTTTTTTTTTTTTTTTGTGGTATTGATATTATATCGATGTTATTAACGTTAATAATTGATGAAAAGATTAAAAAATGACATATTTTTTAAAAAATTTTGTAAATAAGTTTTTAACATAAATTTTTATTCGAAATATTATGCCATCTTGACAATTTTATCAATAGCAATGGTAACAGTTTAAGTTTTTCTTTCCTTTTTCTTTCTTTTTTCTTTCTTTCTTTTTTTTTCTTTTTTTTTCTTTTTTTTTTTTTTTTAAAGTGTTATGAAATGCTTAAGATAATCACGATTGGTGAAATACAGTAATAATCGAAAATTTATGCTATTAGGAATTACTTATAAAAAAAAAATTGTATTATTGAAGAAAATTATTTTTATCTACATTATCTACATACAAAAATATAATGATTAATATCTTTTTAATATGTAACTATATTCAAAGGAACATGGTATCTTTAATAAAGAAAAATTCTCATATCTTCAATTAAAGTTTTGTACCTCGTTGAAATATGACTATACCAGTACTCAATGCTATTAATGAACTTTGTAAATATCTTGGAAATGACAGAAGTTTTATAATTATTTAAACGTTTCCAAACTATATTTCATGAATTAAAATGAAATAGTTTCTCTATGTGATCATTAAAATACATGACACATTGCAAATGCGTATCAATTTAAGGATTATGATATTGTATTATTACAAATATCAAATGTAACTGATTTATTGTAAAAAAAAACAAAAAAAAACTATAAAAATATTCACTTTTGTATATGTATAGACATACGCAACTATATATGTGCATATATAATCAATGGCTGTGTAATTAATTCTTTAACTGTTAGTAGCATGTGTATGTGATTGAACTCTATTTTTTTTCTTTTGTTATTTTTATGATAACAAATAGTACTCGAAACAAATTCAGTAAAGATCAAAATTGATATACAGAAAAGTAAACATTCTCTCAGAACGTTTCGAATAACTATGTTAAGTTTTGAACACAACATGGTATTAAAAAATAAAAAAATAATAATAATTATATTCATACAGTTAAAGGATTAACATTATATAGACAAATTTTTAGGAACATTACTTATTGCTTTTGAAGGAGTGATTTCTTATTCGTATAATTTTTGTAGGGAGCAAAAAAAATTCATATACATATATATACGAATGAATATTTGACGATTATCAAATATAATTTTGTAAATATATATACATATATATATATATATATACATAAATATTTGTAGAGAGAAAAAGATCGCAGAAAAGCGATTAGAAAATCTTGAATACTTCTTTAAAATATACTCCAAAATATGATGCTATATACACAATACTGTAAAATAAATCTAAGTTATAGATCAGTTAGAAAGATATGATCTAATTGTTCATAAAATTTTACATTTAAGTAATAACTTTAAGTATTAAAATTTAAAGGATTTGTAATTTGCCATTGCAATTTACTCTTATACAATTTAAAGAAATCTTTGTAGACTCTTTGATTATCTATATGTTTATTATTTTATTTAGATATGTGATATATTTGTTACAAGGCATGTTATTCAAATTTATGTAACTGTTTTAACATAATTAATAATCGATGATTTTTCATTTGGATTGTAAAATACTGTTCGACTTTATAATCATATTATTAAGTATCATTATCGATAATCACTATAAAATTGGCGTCAGTATTATATTAATATAATCCAAAGGAAAAACACCATATAAATATTACTTGTTCATCCTTTATTTGCCAAAATAATAATAGTACTAATAAAAATAATCAAAATTGCCATTATAATACATATAATAATAAATTTTGTTACAGAGGCTTCTTTAGGAGAAACGAGAAGTTCATATTTCGCGGTATCGACTTTCCCGCGTAAATGCGCGCGCAAAGATGGCGGTAACCTGCGCAGTCGAGAAGATGCGATAGAGTCGTGCGTACGGGTCGTTTGCACGGCGCTGCCCATATAAGGTAATTTCCCCACGTCCCATGCAACGATTGGCTAGTACGAGTGGTACGTCCTACCGATGACTAATTCCAATGAATTCCGTGTCATCGGCCGCGCTGCGCGATCGATCCGACGAGACACGACGAGGCAACCCGAATATATACATACGTTTACCTCGTTCACAGATCGATCTCCACACGAGATCCAGGAACGTAATAATAGCAACGATGCTTAAGCATTTACAAAATTAATTAAAGAGAATGTTGTATGACTTGAGAGTTTTCATCGAACGAATGAAATATTCAATATATATATTCACATTATTAACGATATTTTCTCTGAATGATATGCTATATTTTCTCAGGATCCCATTCTTACAAACAGTCGATCGCGATTTTTCTTGTCAAATTGGAAGATAGAAGAAGGGAAGAAGGTGAGAAAAGATAGAGAATATAATGGGAGAGGGAGAGAAAAAGATAGAGAGATAGAGAGATAGATAGATAGATGGAAAGAAAGAGAGAGAGAGAGAGAGAGAGAGAGACCTTTCGCAGTGCACGAGAAGTAGACGCAACGGGCCAATCGAGACTTATCCGCCAATTGGAGTGCGCGCGCGCAGGCGTAGGAATACAGGATTCGTGGAGAGGCAAAGAGCCATGACTGGAGTGGGAAGAGAGAGAGAGAGAGAGAGAGAGAGAAAGAGGAGTGAAAAGGGGAGAGAGTGAGAGAGAAAGAGGAGAGAAAAGGGGAGAGAGAGAGAGAGAAGACGAAGGAAGAACGCGCTTCGCTCGCTCACTCGTTCGTTTGCTCGAGAGTGGGAGAGGGAGGAAGAGGGAAGGGAGGCCTCCTCCCTTCTCGTTCCTTCGTGTGTCGCGACCCCCGGCGACTGGACACACTGCGCCTTATCCAGTTCTACCCGGAGCCGAGGCCACCGCGAGTGTGTTACTTTCGAGACGGGTTGAGTTCGAGTCCTTCGTTGCGCGATTCCTAACCCACCGCTTCACTCCTACACGAAAAAATGGTAAATATTATCTACAAATATATACACATATATATATATAACATTAACAATAACAATTATAATAATAATGATAATAAAAATAATATAATAATAATAATCATAATAATAGTAATAATAATAATGATAATAATAATTTTAGAAGACTCGCGATACATTTATCGAGTTCGTCCGAGAAGTTCAACCGTATTTTCGTCAAACGTAGAATACTCTTTTCGTCATCGTCGTACACCGATTCGCTTTTGTGGTTATGGCCGCGGCGGACGCGCCGCCGCCGGTCGCCATTTCTGCAACCGGCGGATATACCGCGGCACAGAACCATCCGCTCGATTATTCACTCCTTATTCGAACGCGATATTAATATTTCTCTCTTTCTGTCTCTCTTTCTCACTTTATGTTCCTTTTTCATAAGAGAACAAGATATATTCGATTGATTTGTAAACTTTCTTGTAGCTTTACCCTCGACATTGGGAGGTTAGGGGAGACTCTCCTCTTCTGCCGGTCGTGGTCCAGGCGGGGGTTCTCTTCTCTCTTTTTTGTCTCTATTACCTTTCTTTTCTCTCATTCTCTCTCATTCTGTGTCTCTCTCTCTCTCTCTCTCTCTCTCTCTCTCTCAAGATCCTTTCTTCGTCTCTCTCTCTCTCTCTCTCTTTCTTTCTCTCTCTCTCTTTCTCTCTCACTCTCTCAAAAGAAAGAAAATTTCTTTTTCTTCTTTTGGAATAATCATTGATACTCCATGAAATAAGTGTCGAATTAGAATCTTTCTGAACTATGGTGCGTCGAACGGCCAATGAAATTCATGAGATTCCTTCTTCGATACTTTTTAACCGATCGGATTATTTAAAAATTATATATTATGTAGTTGTGAATTTTCATGAAATTTCATTGCTATTTCTATTCTACGTTTCTATCGTTAAATTCGTTCTTCGTGATTCGCGTTCGTTGCCATCTCTTGTGATATTCCCCCCTCTCTTTCTCACTGTCTGTCTCTCTCTCTTTCTCTGTCTCTGTCTCTGTCTCTCTAGTTGATTTTTGTTACGTACTAGCCAAGCCGAGAGCTGTCATTGAGTTCGCTGAAGCGATTCTCAACGAATCATCGAGGACAAGTCATCATTGACTGTATCGACATTTATTGTTATATACGTAGCCGAATGATTCTCCGATAAAAATCTCTCGCGATGATTTTATTATCCTTCCTTCGTTACTTGAACGAAGATTGTACCGCTCAATAAAGAAATGGAAAGAGAAAGAGAGAGAGAGAACAGATGCGAAATATCAACACAAAAAAAGATGGATGTCGTACCGTTAACGATATGCAAGCCTCAAACGAATCGAAATGCGATCAGTGTGTGTTGGACGAGTTTGTAAGACGATGAAGAGAGTACACTGTGGGTGTAGAAGAGTAAGAGGAGGTGAGGGACGAGAGAGAGAGAGAGAGAGAGAAGTATTCAGTATTGCCGAACGTTTCGCGCGACCATTTTCCCTTCGCTTCCTCTGATGCTCCACCTCCTCTCCCCTCCTTCTGCTCCTCCCCTCCTCCTGCTCTTATGGTAGCCTGGATATTTTCAGACGCGTACGAGACGCGGCGAATAGAGCCGTTCGAGAAAAAGAGAAAGAAAGAGAAAGAGATGGAACAAAGGTAGGACGAAAAGAAAAAGAGAGAGAAATGCTCGACGCGTTTTGACATTTGCTTGAAATTATGCTTTCATCAATATATAGAAACTTTGTTTCCTTCGTTTCGTCTCGTCTCGTTTCGTTTCTTATCAATGTGTGTTTGTTTAGATATCGTGAAAGTTTTCTCTTTCTCTCTCTCTCTCTTTCTCTCTCCCTCTCCATGAAAGTCAAGAAGTTTGTCATGTGCGATTTGAAAACTCCGTTACGATCGATAATATAGAATCTGAAAAGAGATATGAAGGCAATGGCGGGATATTTGAATGATGTTAAAAAGAATGTTATTAGAGACCGTTCGTTCCTTTTTTTTTTTCTCTTTTTATTTTTTGAGGAAAAGGGGGAATTTCTTTATTAGTTTGAAGAGCTTTTTTGAGGGAAACAGAGATAGAGAGAGAGAAAGAGAGCGTTTCAATTTGGATCGTAACGCACACTGGCACTACACAACTATTATTATCGTATTCCTATTCCAAGAAATTCTTGCTCCGCCAAAATCTATTTTTCTCTGTCGCCGCGCTATGTGCTCTCTCTCTCTCTCTCTCTCTCTCTCTCTCTCTCTCTCTCTCTCTCTCTCTCTCGCGCGCGCGCGCGTTCATTCGCGGTATTTTGTTGCTAGTGAGTGTCGTGTGTTCTCTCTTTTTCTCTCTGTGTATGTGTGTGTATGTGTGTGTGTGTGAGAGAGAGCGAGAGAGAGAGAAAACGAATTTTATTCGACAACGATTGACATTGAAAAGCAATCAGTAAAATGATGGTTTGAATGATGGTTTTTTTTTCTTTTTTCTCTTGTAATTCTATAAATTATCGAAAAGAGAAGGAATTTGGTCGTTTTAGTGATCATGAGGGACGAGCGACAAAAACCACAATGAAGTTGGTCACAATGGAGGAAAAAAGGGCGCGCATTAGTTGCTATATAAAAACTTGTTTCTCCGAACGAATTTCATGGTCGCGAAATGTGTATTTATTTTCTTATATTACTTGGAATGAATGACGTGACAATGAACTAGAAAAATTGAATAGAGGGAAGGAAAAATTCGTCTACGACACCACCGTGTATAAGGAGGTCGATCGTATCTCTCTCTCTCTCTCTTTCTTTCTCTCTCTCTCTCTCTCTCTCTATCTCTCTCTCTCTCTCTCTCTCTCTCTCTCTCTCTCTCTCTCTCTCTCTCTCTCTTGTGCCGGACAGTGACTCTCAAAGTTCACTGACGTCCCGACCGATCGGTTGATTAGTTCATTGCTCAATTGTGCTTCTCGTATTAATTTAATGAACTAAGAATTTTCTTTCACTCATTCTAATCTCTCTCAATTATTTAGAATTTTTTATTAGATTGTGTATTTTCGTTTAGATATATATTTTGTGTACAATGTCAGAAAAAAACTTATAATTCTTCAACGAAAATCTAACCTATTTCGTATGTGTTCTTTTTTTTTTCTTCTAATAATTTTAAAAAGATTATATAAAGATATCTCGTTGCAATAAACCTATGAAATTGTAAGTGGTTTCTAACGATGAATGACTAATGTTATCTTCTAAATGGAATACGTGACGAGTCTTCTTCGTGTAAAATTTTTAAACACATTTGATGAATGGTTCTTTAAAATAATATTACACTCATCAAGTTGTTAAAAGGAGGTTCATAAGAAACATATATATATATATTGGAATCGAACGATTGTACATCGAGAGAGAGATGCAGCAATATACACCCAGATAGATCAATTGTTTTATTAGATCGCTTTTATTTGTTCTGTTCTTCTTTTTTTTGCTTAGCGATACATGAAATATATGTTTAAATGACACGATTCACGAACATTATTTAATCATGAGTCTTTCATAGCATAGCAAAACTGACATATTTTCGAATAGCATATGACAAATAGAGAGATCAATATTTCATAAAACGGCAATGTGAATATAGCTGTGTAGAATACAATTAATTTTTTATTTAAATAAATACCAAATCTATTTTACAATCATACATTATATAAACACACACACATATATAGCGGTATTATCAAAAAAAAAAAAAAAAAAAAAATAAGTAAAATATGATGCATCGATATTCGAGATATTTTCGATAGAGATATATATGAATTTTGATCCGTGACATTGTCCTTATTCCGTTATCGGCTATCTTCGGTCGAATTCGTTACGCCGGTAGAATCGTGGAGGGGATAGAAAGGAAGATGGTGGAGAAAGGAAGAAAATGGGATGCACGTTAGAAGAGAGATTGAAAGATGATTATGAATATGAAAAGGAAGGCAAAAAAGAAATAGAAAATCGACAGAGTGCAAGTGAGTTGTATGATGAATGATATATATATATATACACACATTTTATGTATGTGATTAGAGAGAAAGAAACATCTAACGATGCGCACGCCTCTGCTTTGCGCGTGGTGAATCATCTTCCGTTTGACCTTGCGTCGTACACGCACTCATACAAACACGTTACTCTTTTCGTTTATATGTATGTATGTGTATATATATATATATATATATATATATATATAAGGCGGTACATAAGGGAAAGACACGACGACGACATGACGACGAGGATGAGGACAGTTGTTCACGTAAAGGGCGTTTACAGTACGTCCTAGAGGGAGCCAAGTGTATTCCTAACCATAGCCGTAGCACGAAATATCGACCGAGGAACTGCATCCCAGCTTGCACGATACGTGTATATATAGTGTATATATGTCTGTATGTGTGTGTCCTTCGAGCGTGTGTTTATTATCCTTTTGGTCACACCGCCATAGTCGCAGCACACTACTTTTATATATATATATATGTGTTTCATTTTATATATGTATTTCGTATTTTTCTAAGGACATATATTATTCCTGTTAATTTATAAGCCAGTACATAACCTATATTAGCAATATAGTGTGAAACATTTTCTTTCTTTTTTCCTTTTTTTTTTTTTTCTTTCATAGACAGATATTTCTTTCGTTGATATATTAATTAGTGCATAATTCGTGATCAATGTAGTATGCATTTTTTACACGTCATAATTCAAACGCTTTCTGTATTTATTTTTAATTTTTTTTCTTTTTTGTTTTTCTTTTTTATTTTTCTTTTTTATTTTTATTTTTCCTAAATAGATATTATTCTTGTCGTACATATAGATAGATAAATACATATATACGTACATACATAGATACATACATTCATAACCTACACAAGATACTCGGTTCTAATCTTATCTTGTTATTTCTCGTGATGCGTATATTTTAGTTCTATTTTTCACTTGTAATAAATGAAGAGATGGTTATTCATTTAATTTAATTGTTTGTAAGTTGGTAGATTATATTTAGAAAATTATTCGATACTTTATTAATATATATTTTTAATAGGTTAAGTATATCATATCGCCGTAATCATTTAATTTTATTCATTTTCCTTTATTTTTTTAATTCGTATATAAAATGTATGTATTATTAACAAGTCTTTTCCTTAAAAAAGATTTGTATATATCAATTTCGTTTTAGAATTATTATCGGCAGAAAGGAACAACCAATGTCATCGAATTCCTGAAGACGTTCGTCAGAGGAGAAGTTCCGAATAAAATATAAACGTAGAATTAAATTTCGAATATTATCGAATTTATTTGTTCAAAAATATGATATCTTAAATATATAAACGAGTAAAGGAATAATGTAATATATCTATAAATATATACATATACATATGTACATCATATATATGTACATACATATGGAGAATGTACGTATAAAGGAGAATAGTACGCGGGCGCGTAGTCAAGACAACGTTAGTCAAAATCATTCCCGTCGATGCCTTTTGAGGATCAATAAGTTAGTTTCTTTGATTCAAAGAACCGATATATAGTAATATCTATCTTTGCATTGCAATGTCAGACTTGGTTGCTGCTTGCTTGTGGCCCGAAGAAACAATGCAAGCTTTTATTGTCTCTCTCTTTCTCTCTCTGTTTAGTACGTCGGTGTGACTCATTGCTATACTAAATGACACACGTTAGCAGTCGAGAAAGAGTGAGAGAGAGATAGTGATAGAGATACTCAACGTCGATGAAACGCCAACGTTTATTCCAGAATAAACTCCAATATTTTTTTTTTCTAACAGTTATCATTAAATTAAATCAAGATAAAATTAGAATAAAATAAAAGGAAGGTGCGTACATATGTGCGAGTATGTGTATGTGTGTATGTATGTATATATATATGTATGTATAGGTTAGATTAGAAACGAGAAAGCATTAAGACTTTGCATTAATGTGGTAACATTTCTTGATCGTTTCTACGATAATTTGAGAAAGCTTATTTCCAAATCGATGATTTTTACATTCATTCTTTTATCTACTTACTTGATCAGGATCGAAAAGGATTTGAACCTTTCACTCTATACTTTTTGTAAATATATATACATATATATATATATATTATATATATATGAATTTATTTATATGTTTATTTGTTTACTAAAGTCGTTCGAGAAATCGTATTAATACCATCTTGTAATGAAAAATTACAAATGTGTCATCGAATAATTTAATCGTCGATAATTGTATTGACCTGCCTTATCAACCGATGATAAATGCTAAACGATTAGAGACGAGGAATTATTTAAAAAAATTTAATTATTATTTTTGATTTTTGATTTTTGATTTTTTTTTTTTTTTGCGTCATGCCATTGATTCATACAAATTTTTATCCATGTAATATATCGTCGTTCATTTCGAAGTTTTCTCCTTCCTCTCATCGTGTTCTTCTTGTCGATTCATGGGCACGTGTTCTTGCAAGTAAGCGCGAGGGTATAACTTTAGAAACTGATCTTCTCTATCTCTCGAATCTCTCTTTTAGAGTTAGTGGATGATTCCGTGCGTGGGAAGTATTTATTCCTGTAACATTCGACCAAGTTTTTCAACCGAGATCGAGCTTGAAAAATGTTCGATCTTCGCCGAATTTTATCACATTAATATGAATATTCTTATCTTTTTCTTTTCTTCTTTTATTTTCTTTCTTTCTTTCTTTCTTTCTTTTTTTTTTTTTGTCAGTTAGGTCTCTCCTTCTACGTCTAATTCGTTATAGTAAACGTAGTAGAACGTACACATTCGTTCTTTTTTGTAATTTAAAATGTCACATTAATATACCGATAATACTTTTGTGGTAGATCCTTCCAATTTTCTTTTCTTTTTTTTTTTCTTTCTATTTTTTTTTTGTTTTTTTGTTTTTGCCATATTATTTTTCAGTAATATAATCGCGAACTGAAACGATTTAGCAATTTCGATTTGAAAACAAGTTTCTCTTTAGCGGTGCGCTCAGGATGGATATCGACACCAACAGGTGCGCTTCATTTATATAAACGTTTTCATGTCCCTCTCTTTTCAGTCAGTTATGCAACTGCAACTCTCTTGTAGTCTTCTACTCGTCGATTTTTTCCTGCGAATATTCCAGAGTTTTACAAGATTATAAAAGAATCGTATTTATTATTTACATTGAAAAAAAAATATATATATATGTATATATCTTATAGATGATATATATACATATATATCTATTTATAAAAAGAAAATAATATAATATATTTATGTATATATATAGATATATATATGTCTATATTATTATATGCGTCAAATATATACATGATAAAAAAAAAAAAAAATAGAATAAAATCTTAAAAAAAAATAATTTCTTTTAGGCGTCAGGAGTAACCGTGGCGGACGTCTGCAAGACGACGTACGAAGAAATAAAGAAGGACAAAAAGCACCGATACGTGATCTTTTACATCAAAGATGAAAAACAGATCGACGTGGAAGTCATTGGACCTCGTGACGCGGCCTACGATGCTTTCCTCGAAGACTTGCAGAAAGGTGGAAGCGGCGAATGTCGTTATGGTCTATTCGACTTTGAATATACCCACCAGTGTCAGGGTACTTCTGAAGTAAGAGAAAGGATTTTTTATGTAAAATTAAAAAAAAGAAAGAAAAAATTCATTGTTCCCTATTCTCATTAAATAACATGTATGATATATAAATTATGGATATATTGCAACTTATTCGAAGAGAAATGATGACTCATATGAATTATTGTTATCTAAATCTGTTTATGTAACATGTGTCAAAAAATGTTAGTGAAAATTTGACGTAGTCTTATCTCTGAGGAGAAAGAGGCAGACAAAGAGAAAGAAAAAATTGTAAAATGTTTCACTTCTTTAAAAGGAAAAAAAATGTCAAGAGTAGACCAAAAAAAAATAAATGATAAACAGATTGATAATGAGAATTACAACGTATGTGTCTGATATTTAATTATGATTAGATTACGATTAGAGAGAAAGAGATTAAGTTGGTTGGAACAATCGTTATCAAGGTTTATCATTCTCTGTCAATGAGATATTGTTGAATCAGCATTATCAATGTTCTTCATTTATTATGTGAATAATGGAGATGTAATATATTTTTTGATTTTGTTCTTTTTTTTTTTTTTTTTTTCGTTTTAGTTCATAATATTTTTATATGTGTATGTATTTGTTTGTAGGCTTCCAAAAAACAGAAACTCTTCTTGATGTCGTGGTGTCCCGACACGGCCAAAGTTAAGAAGAAGATGTTGTACTCGAGTTCGTTCGACGCTTTGAAGAAGTCCTTAGTAGGTGTGCAAAAGTATATACAGGCGACAGACCTTTCGGAGGCTTCTGAAGAAGCTGTCGAAGAGAAGCTTCGAGCTACCGATAGGAATTAGGAATAATAATTCCTAAAGTGTGAGTTCAAAACAATCACTGCAATTGAGAGAAATCAAGCGATAAAAGAAAAACACAATCTCCCTTCCCTAAACAAAAACAAAACAATTAAAAAGAAAAAAAAAAAGAAAAGAAAAAATAAGTCAACATCAAGCAGCAGCAGCAGCAGCAGCAGCGGCAGCAGCAGCAGCACTAGTATCAGTAGCAGCAGCAGCAGCAGCAGCAGTATCGTCATCAGCAGCAGCAGCAGCAACAACAACAGCAACAACAACAGCAACAACAACAACAACAACAGTACAGTACAGACGCTCAAATGTCGTCGAATGTTTGCGCTAAAGCACGTACTGCTTATTACGTGTGTTTTTAGTCATCGTGTGAAAGAGCGTAAATATTTAACATAAACGAGAATCTAAAATTCAAAAGGAAAAAAAGAAAAAAAGAATAATATTAAAAAAATGAAATAAAAAGAAAAAAAAAAGAAAAAAAATCTAAAAAAGAACAAAGGAAAAGAAAAAGAAAAAAAAATTCGCCCTTTTCGTACTACTGCGGACGGTTGTGTGAATTTCTCTGATATGATAATATTAATATTATACTATTATTATAATAATAATTGTAAGGTAATCGCTGTAAAAGAATAAGAACAGTTTACAACCAACAGTCAACAACAAGCAGTAAGGATGGAAGCATTACATTTTTGTCACAGGATGTATAATGTTTAAATTAAATTCATTTCATAATGATTTTTTTTTTCCCCCCACGTAAGATCTTCAAACATCTTAACTGTTTCCTTTTATAGATCTCCTGGATCATGGATATATCCATACAGTTCAATGCTTGATATGAATTACTTGTTCGTTGACGAATCAAAATTGGGATGATTAAATTTAGAATTAATAAGTGGGTTTCAATCTTATTGTAAATCAATTTCTCATAATCACAATTTTATCAGTTTTTGATGATTAATAAGGCGCTCAATCGAAAGATAAAGGTTTTCTTTTTCTTTTCTTCTTTTTTTTTTTTTTTATTTTTTATTTTTATAAGAGATCTTAGCAAATTTGTGAAAAACGTTATTTTTATTTTTATAAAAATCATCTAAGAAATGAGTAATTTTAAAGCAAACAAAAGTTTGTTTTGAATATATGGATGCGCACAGTGGCGCCATTTCGCGTTTGTGTCGAACAGTCGAAGGTTCTTTTCTCATTACATGTCTACATGGACGTGCGTGAAATTTATTTAAGATTTGGTCGTTTTATGTTAATTCGATTTGAGTAAATCGTATATTATGGAATTAATTTTTGGAAATATTTTTTTATGCAATTTATAGATACATATGAAATTTTTAGTAATCAGTGATCAAACTCTACATTAACACCAAATTATAACATTAACATCAAACTAATAATCTTCACTTTTATATCACTGTATGATATTAGATTTTATGGTAAAATTGATTTCTATTTTACCATCAGTTAAATAGATTTTTTTTCCTTGCTTTCATTAGATCTACTATTATTTTTATGTTATATAAAAATTTCTGTCAGACATTAATTCGATTGTTAGGTTAAGCATAAAGAGAGATATATTATTTGCACAAGTTTACACATCGATACAGTAGATGCATAATAGGAACTTATATCTCATATTTTGATCCAAATCTATCGTTGATATCACGTATACTACGAATAATCTTACGAAAGTTTGTGAACAATTTCAATTATAAAATTTCTTTAGAATTTTCTTTCTTCTCTATCTTCCTTTTCTATTTTCTTTTTTATTTTTTTATGCTTTAGACTAAACTGTTATCTAGAAGCAAAAGTATTACTGATATTATTTTTATTTAGTTGGTAATTGACTTTTGTTCCATCAATGATAAGGTAGGAATTACTTTGGGATAATTAATTAATAATGTTGTCACTATTTGATGATATTGTTCTTTATACAATATAAATTCGATCTATTCTTGTTGAATAATAATGATAATAATAATATTTTTTTTTTTTTAATTACAAAAAAAATTTTAATACATTTTTTTACATAAAATAATTTTCATTTATTTTTAGCGACGTACAAGCGATTGTCCATTACATAGGTCTTCGTACATAAAAGATAATTAATATTCGTCGCTATTTACAAATTAGGATATCAATCGAAATCGTTTGAAATTATTTATGTATCGTATTAATTCGTAATTAGCTGAATGTTGTTCTATGCAAACGAACGAACGTGCTTATGGTCTTTCTTACACACTATAATTAAATCAGGTATGTTTACTTGTAACATATATATACATACATATATACATATATATATATATATATATATATATATATATATATATATATATATATATATAATTTGATTTTAATTTGTACATACAGTGCAACAGAACTAAAAAAAATAATACATTAAAATTTCCTCACGTATCTATCCTAATATAGGATGAAGATCGATCAAACTTGTATGGGTTATATTCTATTCTTCTTGTTTATTTTTCTTCCTTTGTTTTTCGTTTTCATTTTCCTCCGATGTATGCATTCTGACAATTTTCTTTTTTTTTTTTTCTTTTTTTTTTTTCCTTTTATAGAAGTAACGAGATGGTGAGTTTCTTTATAGAAATAGTCCTTTAAAAAAAGGACGGTCTATAATTTCATACTCGTGAAAAACAAGGCAAAAGAAAGGACAAAAGCTGTGCTTTCTTTCGTCACACAAGAGCATCCATTGTTTTCCGTGCTGGTTTGTTGAGACATCGAGGCCATTTGTATTACTACGTAAATCAAAATAAAGATAAAATTATTTAACAATTTGTTATATATAAAAATAATATATAACTTTTTTTAAATAATAAAAGTAATAATAATAATAATAATCATTAAATGATAAAAATAAATAATAATAATCATAAATAATATTATAAAGATATTAATAACAGTAATAATAATAATAATAATCATCATCATACCAGTGTTGATCTTTTCGTCCGGTACTATATCGATCGTTTTGTAATAATCTTCAGCATCAGGAGCTACGATATTAGGATAAAGAATATTATATTTAAATTTTGATTTTGAATAAGTTAAAAAAAATTGATTTATTTTCTTTTTTAATTCTTTAATCATTTCTTTTTTCTTTTTTTTTTTTTTTTTTTCTTTTTCGTCTTTTTAACTTACGAGCACCTTCCGTAGCAAATCGTATGACTTTCGATGGTCTGCTCGAACCATAACGATTTCTCGATACTACAAAAGCCTCATAGTGTGTAGCTTCAGCCAATCCTGTTAAATTGAAGGATCGAGCATGTACTGGACCAATCGCATTGCTTCCGCTCGGTATGTAAAGTTTATGCCACTTATGTGTCGTAGTAGTTGTACTTGCTCTGAACGAACCTTCGTGAACGTACTTCTGTATTCATCAAGTGAATATCAATTACATAAATTGGATAGGAGGTTTGTCTATTATGGTTATAGTAAACGATAAAACTTTCGTACGATATGATATAACTACATTTTCTGAATGAATCGTTAATATACGACGATTTCCAATTTCTTTTTCAAGGTTAGTTATACAATTTCTTTTTTAACGTATAACCAAACAATTAAAAATATTTCTTAACGTTATAAAGAGAACAATATTCTGACAATAATATTTCGATATTAATTATGATTAATATATGTACATATAATACATATATATATATATTTATACATATATATTATATGTATAAATTTGTAATTTAGTATGATAATATTTTCGATCAGATCTATAACGATATTAGATGATCATGTGATTTGATAAGAAAGTTCTATAACGTAATAATATAAATATTTAATACAATATAAATTGTATAATATAAATAATATATAAGATTTAATATCAATTTTGTTAATAGTAAAATATAAATGTATACATACGTATACATAGACTCATAGACATATATTTTTAGGTTAGAATTTTCTTATTAAGTTTCACGAATATATATATATATGTATGTATGCTTACCCTGTACTGACGAAAGGAGAATTGATATTCAACGATAGGAGTATAACAATCAACCTCCCAAATGAAATTATACGCAGTCTTCGATATACTCTTAGCTTCTTTGAAAATCGCAGGATTTGCTACTCCTGATAATTCGATCGCAGCCTCAGTTATTCCCAAGGAATTTGATGCTCTACATAAATAAAATCCATAATCCTTCGTTATCACGTTCCTTATTACTAAACTATGATTATGTCCTATACTGTGTTTCACTATTCTCATTGAATAGGATACCGTCTTGTTCATGAAGTACCACTCAACCTGGAAAATATAACAGGTGTATCCACTTTATAACTAGATCTTTTCTAAATCATTTAATAATATATATATATATATATATATATATATATATTATTAATATTTTATATATATATATAATTGTAGAAATCATCATGTTAAATGAGATAAAATTCTTTTCCTTTTTTTTTTTACTTCTAAAGGTTTTTATTTTCGATCGGTGGAAGATCAATAAAACAGAGATTGCAATTTTATTTCGTAGGATACAAATTCCAAAAAATATATATACACACACACACATACGCACTTTCTCTCTCTCTCTCTCTCTCTCTCTCTCTCTCTCTCTCTTTCTCTTTCTCTTTCTCTTTCTTTTCGTATAAAAAGTCAAACGTAATCCTCTCGAACTATTTTTCCTAAGGTAGAACTATCATGAGTCACGTTTCCAACGAATCGATTTGTCACGTATTAGCGGCTTCAAGGGATAACTTTGAGAAATTGCTTTGCGGCTCGAACGAAGCTTTTCATTTACTTATATACCTAACTACGAATATAGCTTCTTTTTCTTTTTCTTCTTCTTCGCAAGAAAAATTGAGAGAGAGAGAGAGAGAGAGAGAGAGAGAAAGAGAGGAATGAAAAAGCCTTCAACTTAATCTTGCAAATACTTTGATCTTTCGACGATATGACGTCGCAGCGTAAAAAAAGGAAAAAATTAAAAAGAAAAGAGAGAGAGAGAGAGAGAGAGAGAGAGGGGGAAAAGCGCAAAAGCTCTGACAGAAAAATAAAATAAAATGTAAAATATTCTTTTCCAAAGGTAAAAAAGAAAAAAGAAAAAAAAAGAAAAAAACTCACCTCAGCCTCTGGCCAAGCAATAACTCTGCAATCCAATTGGGTTCGAATTCCAGGCGATGCATGAACCCATGGCTTATTGATAATAATTTCTGGCTTATCTGTAATCGCATAAGCTCATATAAACGCTTCCGACATACTCGTTATTATATGTAGTTATTATATGTACATTACGTACGATTAGAATCGAGGTATAGTAATGATAAGACTCGATCGATAAAGTAGATTCTTCTTTTGATCATACGTGTAAACAATTGATATTTGCATAACGGCATTAAATGTCATCCGTAATGAGAGCAATTGCCCTGTTCGTACACATGTATGTTTATCTATGTATATACATTTGTATGCATATATGTATGTACATACATACGTACGTATTATATGTACATACGTTCGAATGGAATACTAAGGAGACCAATGCGCTGTTCAGCAATTTGCTAATTTAATTATAATCGTTTTACGACGCACTCATAAGAGTCGAATATAATTTTGCATGATTGCATCCCGCGTAGAGCGTACAAGGCTAGGATATAATTAAAGTAGCCCCGATTCTCGAGGATAGAGGTAGACGTGAAGTGAGATAGAAATAGAAAAAGAAAGGGTGGGAGGGGAAAGAGAGAAAGAGAGAGAGAGAGAGAAATAAATGCGAAAGGGATGTACAACATTGGCGTGCATCTCAACATGGAATTTCTTAATACCCTTTACTCTTTTCCTGACGCCCCTCCTCCTACTACTTTAATTCGCCGTCACTCTCCCTCCTTCTCTACCATATAATTTTTCTTTTTCTTTTTTTTTTTTCTTTTTTTTCTATCTTTCTTTCCTTCTTTTATACTATAAATTTACAAAGCAGCGAAATAAGCAACGAGCCTTTGAAAACTGGTCGATTGTATATCCTTTTCATTCTTTCCCTGAGCATTACGAGAGAAAATGAGAAGATATATATATATATATATATTTACTTACATACATATTATATAATATTTGAAAATTGTAAAAAAGTGAAGGAAAACAAAAATTGTATTGTAACGTTATGTTATATTATTTAAAAAGGTTTCATTTGCTTTTTCATTTTTTTTTTTTTTTAGTTTTTTTAATTTTTTCTTCTTTCGTTCTCCTCTCTTTCTATTTTTCTCTCTTTCAAGGAATATTTTATAATTGTCTAGACTTGTCTTATTTGACTTGATTTAATACAACTCTATTTTTTTCTTTTTGTTTTGTTTTGTTTTTTTTTTGTCGGATACTTACATTTTATACGAAGATCTATCGTTGCCGATACTGAATCACCGATACCATTGCTGGCTATGCAAGTATATTCCCCTGAACGATTACGATGATCTGCATAAAATCTTAGACGTGGTCTGTTCGTCAGTAATGGTATCTCGCCGTCCTGTAAAAATTAACAACATTTTATTTATCGTGATTTAAAAATAGAAGGAAGAAGAAAGTGTGTGTGTGTGAGAGAGAGAGAGAGAGAGAGAAAAAGAGAAAGATAGAGGAAATATTGGATCGCTTGAATAAGTAATATCAGAATGTTTAGAATATTTTTTGCGTGTATATAAAATAACGATAAGATGTATAATAAATGACAATGAGGTTATAGTTTATGTTTGATTGATAAATAATATGACCGTATGATGAATAGTATGATTGGATTTATTTATACGAAAAGGTAATGTCTTAGGTAATGTCTTTTTTTTTCCTTAAGAAATTTCTTTCGATCTTTCTTTCCCTCTTTTTCTTTTTTCTCTTTTTCCTTTAGAGATACTATTTTCTTAAAAAAAAAAAAAAAAAAAAAAAAAAAAAAAAAAAAAAAAAAAAAAAAAAATCTACCTTAGTCCACCAAGAAACAACGGGCGCAGGAACTCCGTTGGCAATGCACTCCATGTCGACTTCCTCTTTTAAATTGACTTCCAGTTCGCCGGACTCCGGTACTGGGCGAATACTCGGTGGATCTGGAAGAAGATACGAAAGTAGCGAAAGGGAATATAAGTGCCGGCAGGCCCTGAAGTTTCTAGGGCGTGACGACGATATCCATTCGCGTATCGTTGCGTACTCGTAGAAAAAAATATAAAAGAGAGAGAGAGAGAGAGAGAGAGAGAGATGAGAGGGAGGAATGAAAAAAAAAAGAAGAAAGAAAAAATAAAGAACAAGAAATAAGAGAAACGAAAAATAGGGAGAGAGAGAGAGAAGGAAGAAAAGGGATAAATTTCGTAGAAAAAATAAAAAAAAAATAGGATTTGGTCATAGCATTATAAAAGTTAGAAAAACGAAATTCGATTTCACTCACCGAAAAGAGTGAAAATATTCAAAGTCTTTGATAGATTTTATTCTCGTTTTTTCGACCTTACGCAAGCTTTTTTCCCTATTCTTTTCTTTTCGTTGTATATATTATGTATATGTGTGTGTGTGTGTATCATTCGCGTATTCTTCAATGTATTTCTGCCAGAGACTATACATACAGGGTGAAAACTAAAGATACAAGATAGTCCAAAAATTTCTAACTATCTTTAAATCTCAATTATTCTCTATTCTCAAGAGAATCTGTTTTTAGCTCTATTGCATTTAAAATTCTAATCCATACGATCTGAGCTTGTAAAGTTTTGTAATCTTTGGAAAAAAAAACAGAAAAAAAAAAAAGAAAGATTTATCTAAAAAGGATTCAAACAATCGTTTGTTAAATATCACAGAGAATACTTTTTACCCTTTTTCGTATTTATATATATATATATATATCTTCTATTTTTTTTTTCTTTTTCAAAGAAACAATTCGTTGATCCATTAAATTTAATATCAATAGATGAATTATTTTTATCAGATATTATTTTATTATTTTTAATTCGACAAAAATATGTCTGTGAAGAATTTATCTTGGAAGAGTTTTATTAGAGGAAAAAAGCAAAAAAAAAAAAAAAAAAAAGAAAAGAAAATAAACGAACTTATCAACGATATAGAATAATATTCTCCATTATTATTTAATTTGCATATGGATATTGATAGTTTTTTTTTTTTTTTTTTTTTTTTTTTTTTAGTTTTTATGGATCACCCTGTATATATATATGTATCCTCGAAATGGAATCACTAAATTCAACAGAACAGCCTAGGAATTCCATAGAGACTCGTGACAAAAGGAGAAGTTTTTTTTCTTTCTTTTTCTTTTTTCTTTTTCCTTCCCTCCCCTCTTCTCCCGGTTGAGCTCGGTTTGTAAATTTCTGCGTATGTCACTCACACACTTTCGCATCCTTTATTTATTTTATTTTATTTTATTTTATTTTATTTTATTTTATTTTATTTTATTTTTTTCCCCCCAATCGGACCAATACAACGATCGTACCCTAGTGACTTCTTTCTCTCTCTCTTTCTCTCCCTCTTTCTCTTTCTTTTTCTCTCTTTATCTGGATTACGACGATATGGTAATAACGAAAAATAAAAAG